GAGCGGCCACTGCACTCCAGTCCGGGCAACAGAGTGAGACTCCAACTCAAAAAAAAAAGAAAAGAAAAAAGAATATTTAATGAGGCAGGAATTAAGACACACCGTAATATTAAAAAATTTAAAAGAAGAGAATACACTTTGGGTACAATGTGATCATCAGTTTGTTTTTAAGAAAATGTATATGTAATTGGAAAGAGAAAACACTGAAAGAGATATGCCAACATATACTAATGAAGCTTATTTTTGTGTGGTGAGATATACTTCTTTATGGTTTTCTTTTTAAAAATTTTGTGGCTTATGTATTTATTTTATAGTATAAAAAAGATTATTTTAAAAATATGTAAACAAATTAAACACCTAGCTTTTATCTTCTTACCTGGTGCGTTCCCTTGCATGCATTCTAAGGGTGAAAGAACAGTGAGTTCTGTCTAGCATGACACGTGACCTTTAAAAATTTAGATATGTCAGAGTTGCCTGGGCTGCACACAGAATAGATTGAATAAAAACTATCAGTAATAGCTGGAGGGCAGTTCTGTCCAATGGAAATATGATATGAGCCTCATGTGTAATTTAAATTTTTCTAGTAGCTAGATTTAAAAAATAAAGGGGTGAAATTAGTCATAATAATGTATTTACCCCAATATATCCAAACATGATCATTTCAACAAGTAGTATTTTCACATATTTTTTTCCCTTTGTGTTAAGTCTTTGAAATTCTGTGTGTATTTTAAGTCATGGCACTTCTGAGTTTGGACCAGCCACATTTCACATGCTTAGTTGCCAGATGTGGATGCTAGTGGCTATATTGGACAACGTAGTCATCATCATTATATTCTTGTCATATTTTTAGAACTCTGTGTTGTGAGAAGGTCACATGAATTTCTTACTTATCCTTTCTGTGCTTGAAGATCAAAACCAATGGATATTTATTTCCATTAAACCACATATTGTCAGTTTTGCAAATAAAATGTCTGCAAACATAGAATAGTTGTGGTTTTCACCATCTTTTAAAATATTTGTTTTGAAAGTGTTTAGGATAATTTTCCATTTTATATACCTTATGAATCACATATCCAATTTAGGTTGACTTTCTTCAGCAAGCTAATAAAGACCTAGAGAAGCATATACAAGAGCTTATGGAAACCAAGGAAACAGTGACATCCGAAGTTGTTAATTTAAGTAACAAAAATGAAAAACTCTGCCAAGAATTAACGGAAATAGACCAGTTAGCACAGCAGTTGGAAAAACATAAGGAAGAAGTGCTTGAGACTGCTGATAAGGAGCTTGGGGAAGCAAAGGTAAAGAATGAAATGTCTAGGTTATGGGTGTTCATTAATCCTCCTAGCACACAGTGTGCTGGAGCCCTTTTGATATCCATGTAATTTTGTGCATGTGTGTGTGTGGGGGGGTGTTGTTTTGGGTATTCAGGATTTCCTTTTTTTTTTGAGTTGGAGTCTCACTGTATCACCCAGACTGGAGTGCAGTGGCTGCTCCCGGCCACTACAGCCTCGACCTGCTGGGCTCCGACGATCCTTCCGCCTCAGCCTTCCAAGTAGCCGGGATTACAGGCGTGTGCTACCACGCCCGGCTGATTTTTTTATTTATTGTAGAGATGAGGTCTCGCTGCCCAAGCGGATCTCGAACCTGCAGGCTCAGGTAATCCACTCACCTCAGCCTCCCAAAGGCGCGGGATTACAGTCTGAGCCATCGAGCCCGGCTCAGGATTTTCTAAAGCGTTGTCTATACCCTCTAAATGGTTGTATCTGGTCTAGCTGTTTGAGTGTCTTTCTGAAACACACCTATTTATTCTTAGGATAGATCTCCAAACTCTGTTCTGTTTTCCTTCAAGATTTTCGTCTGTGTCCTTTTATCTTTGCATTGTGAGAGAGATTGTGTGTCATTTTTTGCTTATGAATCCTTTACAGGTATTTTTAAAACTATGTATGTCCTTGCATAATTTTAACTTGATAGCTAACATTTTTCATCTTGAAGTTTGAATAGATGGGAAAGATGAAATTTCCAGTCATCTATTTGAAATATTGGCCTCTCTCTTTTTTTTTGAGTTGGGGTCTCTCACCCAAATTAGAGTACAGTAGTACCATCAGGGCTCGCCACAGCCTCGACCTCTTGGGCTCAAGCAGTCCTCCAATCTCAGTCTCCCAAGTAGCTGGAACTACAGGCATGTGCTACCACACCTGACTACTTTTTAAATTTTTTTTGTAGAGACAAGATCTTGCTATGTTGCCCAAGCTGGTCTCAAACTCTTGGGCTCAAGCAGTTCTCCCCTCTCAACCTCCCAAAATTCTGGGATTACAAGCATGAACCACCATGCCCAGCCTAAATATTGATCTCCTAAAATAAAACTGTCTCGTTTTTCTTTTAATTATAGCCAATGAAATCTAAATGATCCTTTCTTCTTGAAATTTCTGCAAAAGTTTATCCTATTTCAATAGATTTTATACTTGAGTATCTTTATTGATTACTCTATCATACATCTGTGTAAGAAGAAAAATGATGAATTGAAATTTCTTATTTTTAAAAATGTCCTGTTACTGTAAGGTTCAGAGCGTTAGTATTTTCTTCTGAATAGTGTTATCATTACAATTATTAATGATTAATGGGTTAAAGTGACAAATGTACCACAAATGTTGATAATACTTACTAAATAAAAACGTAAAATTTTGAAATATCTCTCTTAATGAAGTAAAATGGGAGAAATGGTGTCTTACGTTAGCCACCTCCAACATGTTAGATGATCTTTTGATCTGGTGCTCCAGAAGAGTTTTATATCCTGAAGCAGTAAGCCGTTATAACAGCAATGAAGTGTGTGCCCTTCTCTGAGCAGTGAGAGAAAGGTAGCTGTGAAGGGGCGGGTGGGAACGCAGAGCTCAAGTAATACCTACACAGCAAGCACATTCTCAGGGAGATCATTTTTAAGAAGCACTGTAGATGGAAATTAAGGATCCAGGTACCAATTCCTTAAACCTATGTGCATACCGTCGTTGTACATAATACTTAGAAAGTCTTCATGTTATCCCAGGAGTAAGTAGAGCCCAGTTGGAGGCCCACTGCTCTACATCGCTGAAATGATTTTATACAGTGGCACCTCCAATAATGAATGGAATAGAAGGAAAGTGTCTCAATACAATAACAATCATATATGAAAAACCCACCGCAATCAAACAATACAGACGGAAAACTTTTCCTCTATGATCAAGAACAAGGAAGGATCTTCATTCTTGTCACTTCTGTTCAACATGGTTCTGGAAATCCTCACCAGAACAGTTAAGCAAGAAAAAGAAAAAGCACACAAGTTGCAAAGAAAGAATAATGTTATCTCTGTTCACCGATAACAGGATTTTATTTGTAGAAAACTCAGAAGATTTCACAAACAGAAATAATACACGAATTTGGTAAAGTTGCAGGCTACAAAATCAGCACACAAAAATCAGGTACTTTTCTATACAGTAAAAATGAACTATTGAAAAAGAAATTACGAAAATAATCCCATCCACATTATCATAAAAAAGAATAAAATACTTAGGAGTAAACTTAACCAATGAGGCAGGAAACTCATATACTTGAAAATGATACGACATTGCTGAATGTAGTTAAAGAAGGCATGAATAAATAGACATTCTGTGTTTGTGGATTGGAAGACTTAATATTGTCAAAGTGTCCAGACCACCCAAATTGATCTATAGATTCTGTGCAACCCCTGTCAAAATCCCAGTGACATTTCTTTTGCAGAAATAGAGAAAAAAAACTCTAAAATGCATGTGGGCTCTCAAGGGACCTCAGATTGCTAAGTTAATCTTGAAGAAGAAGGGCATAATTAGTGCAGTTTTAATTCTGCCTTTGTGGTTTGATTTCCATTGCAACACTCCTATATCTCATCCCTCTCTTTTTCACTATCTTTTGATTCTTCTATGTTTGTGCACACAACACACTAAACCAGCTTCTTGTGCCCATTGGTGATGCTCAGAACCCTTGACTCAACATAATACTCCTATCGGGTCATAGTATCAAGTAAAACAGTTTTGACAGGTCTTGATGAAATTTTTGTTAGTTTTCATGTCAATGCACTTAAACGTAGAATATTAAAAGGAACTGAAAATCTAAGTGAAGTTTTATAACCATAAATGGTATGAATACAAACCTGAAGAATGTGATACAATCTAACTGACACCCAAACAGGCTGATTTCAGAGCATTCTTTTTTTTTTGAGTCAGAATTGCACTCTGTAACCCATTTGGGAGTGCAGTGGTATGCCCACGGCCACCACAACCTCCACATGATGGGTTCAGGTGATCCTTCCGCTTCAGCCTTCCAAGTAGCTGGAACCACAGGCATGCACTAGCATGCCCGGCTAATTTTTTTTTTTTTTTTAATTTATTTATTGTAGAGATGAGGTCTTGCTAAGTTGCCCAGGCTGGTCTCAAACCCGTGGGCTCAGGTAATCCTCTCGCTTCTCTCGCCTCAGCCTCCCAAAGTACTGGGATGACAGGCATGAACCACTGCACCCTGCTGTTTTCAGGACATTCTGCATGCACTTATACAGTATGAATCTGAGCAAAAAGTTCCTTGAAAATCAGGCTATAACAGGATGAGTGAACATTTTAAAATACCTCCGTTAAAAATTTATATTTTTAAAATTTTCAATTTAAGCACACATTCAGTCATTAAAAATGGAGATTATATTTGCAATGGGTATAGTTATGTACTGAATGCTTATGTCCTAAGAAATTTCATATATTGAAATCTAATCTTCAATATGATGATATTTGGTGGTGGTACTTTGGGAATTAATGAGGTCATGAGGGTGGAGCCCTCATGAATGAAGTTGGTTTCTCTAAAATAACAGGCCAGAGAGCTAGCTCACCCTCTTTCTGCCATGTGATGATACGAGAAGAATTCAACTGTCTAAAACTCAGGAGAACCCTCTCCAGAACCTGCCCATGCTGGCACTTGATCTTGAACTTCCAGTCTCCAGAACTTCGAGAAATAAATTTGTTGTTTATAAGTCACCCAATCTACGGTACCTTTATTATAGAAGTCTAAACTAAATAAAGTAGGGCTGTTTTCTTTTTTTTTAAATATGTTAATGTTTTTAAATTTTAAAAAAACCTGGTGGAGAGATTTTTTTTTTACCTTGCTTAAGGGAACTATTATCAGCACTTGGCATTCTGCTCTCAGATGTAGTGTAGAAATCCAGGTTGGTAAAAGCAGGAGTAGAGAAAGCAAGTAGGATAGGAAGATCAGAAAATGACAGGGCTGCCATAAGATACAACCCCAAAATCAAGGGCCAAGAAAGTCCTGCAAGTGACTTTCTTCCTTCAAATATTACGCATATGTCACCATAAGCATTTGGGATACCAAGAGAGCCAAGCCTCAATTTCACCTGTTCATTGAAATTGAGTGTTAGGGCTAAAGCCTCAGTTCTCACTGGTGAGAGGGAACAGGAATTACTTGAAAAATTACTTGGTCTTATTTGCATGGTGACTTAGTGATAAGTATTCTTACACTTTTAGGTGTTTACCTAATAGGCTTTTTATTCCTAGAAAGAGATTAAACAAAAGCTGTCTGAAATGCGGAATCTTGAAGAAACAATGGCAAAACTTCAGCTGGTAAGTGGATATCAGCATTTTCAGTAAGAAAGTTTTTATGGTTTCTTCTTTTTTTTTGAGTTGAAGTCTCACTATTGCCCAGGCTGGAGTACAGTAGAACAATCACAGCTACTACAGCCTTAACCCGCCGGGCTCAGACAATCCTTCCGCCTCAGCCTTCCAAGAAGCTAGAACTACAGGTGTGCATCACCATACCCAGCTAATTTTTTTTTTTAATTGTAGAGATGAGATCTCACCAAGTTGCCCAGGCTGGTCTCAAACCCCTGGGCTCAGGCAGTCTTTTTGCCTCAGCCTCTCAAAGTGCTGGAAGCCACTGTGCCTAGCTTATGGTTTATTTTATTGCCTAACTACTGACAACCACAAATCTTGTTTCTGTGTCTGTAGATTTGCCTCTTCTGGCTGTTCTGTATAAATAGAATCATAAAATATATGACCTTTTATATCTGGCTTCTTTACTAAGTATAATATTTCTAAAGTTAATGCATTTGTAGTGTTTTTGTGCCTTTTTATGGCTAATATTCTACTGTATAGATATATGAGTTTATATTTTTAAAATCCTTTAATCTCATATAGAGTAGGTGGCAAATAAAACCTGTTCAAAATTTTATAGTCTTAACTACTTTATGTCTTGTTAGTTTACTAATATTAAAATCAGAAATTGATAATTATTTTGTGTATTTGTTGACTGTTACAGAAAGCACCCAGTCCTCTTTTAATAGCTTTGTTTGGTAATATAAACTATTATCCTAGCCTCAGTGCTTGTTCTGGTGATCTTCAGGTAAAAAAGAAAGTAATCGTCCCAGTAGAAGCCTAGATTATAGCATGTAGTCCTACTGTCTGGAATCAGCAGAAAACTTCTTGCTTGCAAGTAGAAACTGAGTGGTTGCTCATTTGATTGAGGACTTTTTAAAAATAGCCTATTAAATTGGAATAATTTTTTCTCAGCTTGGAAACAAAGACGAATACTAATTTGCAAGCTCTCTCATTCTGTGTGCTTCTTATATGCCAGCTACAGTGTGCAGGTGGCAGGAGCTGGTTAGAAAGGAGCGTGAGGGCAAGGGACTTTGGATGTTTGCTCGTTGCTCTTTGTGTGTGCCCTCAGCATGGAATGGATCCTTGATGCTTGTCTCAGAACTGTGATCACATCTCAGTAGTTTGGGCTGACAATAAGATGTTCCTGTAGTTACTTTTTGACCTGTCTTATTTTTCCCAGTAGTGCTCTATTTTATGTATTTTGAGATAATGGTGATAATACTAATGGCTAGCGTTTATTAGGCACTTACTATGATGGACATGCTGGGACTGTGTCAAGTACTTCACATCTGTAGGTTCACCTTCACTGGGGAACCCTCAGTGTCCTGGTCTTATTATCCCTTTTGTGTACACGAGCCTAAGAGAATAACCAATCTAGTTACGAATATACTGTATGGGGGAGTCTTAGAACACTGTACCCTACGACTGCCCCTCTCCCCCTTTTTTGGGGGGGGTGGAGTTTCATTTTGTTGCCCAGACTGGAATGCGGTGGCATGCTCATGGCTACTGCAGCCTCGATCTGGTGGGCTCAGGCGATCCTTCTGCCTCAGCCTTCCAAGTAGCTGGAACTACAGGTGTGTGCCACCATGCTTGGCTACTTTTTAAATTTATTGTAGAGATGATGTCTCACCAAGTTGCCCAAGCTGATTTCAAACCCCTGGGCTCAGGCAATCCTCTCACCACCGCCTCCAAAAATGCTGAGATTACAGGCATGAGCCGCCATACCCGGCTACTGCTCTTTTTTAAACAAAAAAGCTTTAAAACTTTTTATTGCACAAGTACATATTCATTTAGAAAAAAATAAGATAATATGCTAAACCAATTAGAAGAAAATAAAATCTATAATTCTGCCACCCACAAAGGAGCGTTGTTATTTGAGTTTTACAGTACTTTTAGCCACAATTGCTAAAATTAAGTTTAGTTGAAATTGTATGTTCAACTGATTAAAAGTGCATGTATACATACACACATACATATGTGAATTGCTGTTGTATAAATGTGCTTATAAAAATATCTATTTGACTTTTAAGTGCTATAATATTTTATAAAATTGTTAGAAATCTTAATCATAGTATTAAAATTTGCAGGAATTAAACTTATGCCATAAAGAAAAGGAGAGACTGAGTGATGAGCTCCTTATAAAATCTGACCTGGAAACTGTTGTTCATCAGCTTGAACAAGAAAAGCAAAGACTTAGCAAAAAAATGGAAAGTTTTACAGTTACAGGTGAGATGTGAAATTTTGATAACTTAAAAAATGATTGTGATTTCCTATTGATGCATTATTTTTCTTAGTAGATGATCTTTCATTTATCCAGGCAATTAGTATTTGTTGAGTGTTTTCTTTGTAAACCAGAAACCATACTAAGCAGTATAGGTATAATAGCAATCTCTCCTTCAAGGACCTTAAGAATTTTTATATTTTGAGTAGTTGATAGAGAACTTGAATATTTTACAATAGAAATTTATCTTCTTTGAGACAGATTAATAATTGGATTAAGAAAGACCATTACGATTAAGAAGATAATTCTGAGATAGTGGAAAATTGAAGTACAGACTCTTTTTAAGGAAATACAGTTGTTTTTGTTTTTTGAGTTGGGGTCTCACTCTGTCACCTGGACTGGAGTACAGTGGCATGATCACAGTTCACCGCAGCCTTGAACTCTCGGGCTCAAGTGATTCTCTCACCTCAGCCTTCTGAGCAGCTAGGATTACAGCCACGTGCTACCTTGCTCAGCTAATTTTTAAACATTTTTTTTGGTAGAGAGAAAGTCTCACTATATTGTGCAGGTTAATCTCAAACTCCTGGGCTCAAGTGATCCTTCCACCTTGGCCTCCAAAGTGCTGGGATTACAGGCATGAGCATTGTGCCAGGCCAGAATTGTAGTTGTATCGTTGTGCTTATTTATTTATTCATTTGTTTATTGTAGAGACAGGGTCTTGCTCTGCCGCCCAGGCTGGAGTGCAGTGGCATGATGATAGCTCACTGCGGTTTCCAACTCCTGGGCTCAAGTGATTGTCCCTGCTCGACCTCAAGAGTAGCTAGGACTACAAGCATGCACCACCACACCCAGCTAATTTTGTACACACACACACACACACACACACACGATTGAAATAGGCGAACTTTATTCTAGGGACCAGTCCTAAGTGACTTAGTGTAAGGAACATGTAAGAGCTCACTTATGCATCCTTTGACCAATGTTTATGAAGTACCTGTTTTGTGGGCATGTGCCAGGCTCGATTTTGATCACTGGGGTGTACAGTCATGAACAAGATATGTGAGAGCCCTGCTCTCTTTTCTTGCTAGGGAAACAAGCTCGTAGCACATGAGTGCAGAGGCTAGCGTTAGGAGATAAGAGGTATTACAGCAGAATGGGAGGGTGTGCTGGGCACTGACGGATCAAGGAGCTCAGTGACGACAGCTGCCATGTGAAGACCTGGGGGCCGAGTTTTTTATGCAGAAAGAATGACAAATGTAGAAGCCTGGTGCCATTCACTCCCTCTGTCTTAGGAAGTGAAGGAAAGCCAGTGTGCTGTATTGAGAAGCCTCTATCAGAGGCTTTTCCGCGTCCGTGTAGATAATTTTGATCTCTTCTCCACTTACAGCTGTGTAACTTGGGCACATCACTTAATCTCTCTGTGTCTCAGTTTGTCTATCCATGAGAGTAATGACGACATTTATCCCAGAAGGTTGTTGTGAGCATTAAATGGGTTGCTATATTAAAGTGCTTCGAGGGCTGTGATGGGCAAGTCCTGGAGCCCCGCCCTGATCTCACCGTCTGCTTCCAAAAGCAAAGAGAAGGACTGACATGAGATGTATATTTAAATTTTTTTAGCTACTGCAAACATTGTACATCCTAATTCAAGGAAAAAATTTAAACCATTAAAAAAAAGTGCTTCGAACCACGTATAAAAGTTTACAATTTACCTCCTTTCATAGCTTTCTGTTGCCTGTCATTTCAATGGAATCCTTCTGCTGTCTCAAACTCCCTAGTTTCTCTGTGTTTTGAGTACATCTCCTTGCCACATAACCAGCCGTGGATGAACCAAACCATTTGCCTTCTATGCTTTTGCCCATGGGCAACTGAGCACTGCTTGAGTGGGCTCCAGGTACATTGAAAACACTGGACATTAGGTGGTCCTAAACCTCAGCGGGACCCTCCATGTTGTTTGGAGATCTTGCACTATTTCTCTTAGCGTTTTATCTTCCAGTTTCTGTGGGGAACATTTCAAATATTTTTCATTCTCAATAAGCCCATGACCCTAATATACCTCTCAGTCTGAGTGGATGCTCTTCCCTCCGATTTTTCTAAGAGAGTGGAAGTCATGGAAGGCATTCCTTCAGTTTCCTGGCCGCAGAATTTTTTGTTTGTTTGAGACAGGGTCTCATTCTATCACTCAGGCCAGAGTGGAGTGGCACAATCATGGCTCACCACAGCCTCGACCTCCTGCGTTCAGGTCATCCTTCTGCCTCACCCTCCCAAGTAGCTGGGACTACAGGCAGGTACCACCATCCCTGGCTAACTTTTTTGGGTTTTTTAGAGACGAGGTCTTACTATGTTGCCTAGGCTGGTCACAAACTCCTGGGCTCAAGGAGGGATTGCGGGCGAGAGCCACCATAGTTTAACCTGTCCGTCTTCTCCTCCCTTCCTCTTTATTGCGGGAATGTCCCTGTTGTGAAAGGCCAATGCCTCTGTCTGCTTTCTGGGTTTTAACTTCCAGTTTTAAAAACCTTACATATGAATCATCTCCTCTTCAGAATTTTGGGGTTTGTACTGTTTTTTCCCATTGGTGTTCAAACTCTAAGAGAGTGGAAGTCATGGAAGGCATTCCTTCAGTTTCCTGGCCGCAGAATTTTTTGTTTGTTTGCTTGCTCTTCTCCCATTAAACACAGATTTCGATCCAGTCCTCTCCAGACACTCTTTCTTCCCCTTTTCAGCTTCAGCATCTTGGAAGGTCGGTCATCCATACTTGGTATTTCCACTTATCACCCCGTAGCTCCTCAGTGTCCTCAGTTGGCTTCTGTCCCCACCTCACCAACAAAACTGCTCATGTTAAGGCCATCATTCTCCTCAATGCAGTGGATGCTTTTTTTGACTTCTTTCTTGGCACAGATTTGCCAGTCCTACCACCATTAGAATAATGGTTTGACCTTGGCTGTTTTTCATACTAGTATCCTTAGCCCATACTGTGTGTATAGTAAATACTTAATACACATCTGTTGAATGAATAAAAGAAGGGATTGGGAGTTAATCAAAACATATCAAGAAAGTCATCCCATGCCTCAGAGTTATAGTTACCATAAGTTAAATTTGGTTGAACTATGTGAAATTGCCAGTATTTGGTTACTTTTGACTCATAAAGGGGAAATTTCTATGGTAAAAGCTAATAATCGTTCTTATTTGAAGAAAGACTTGAGTTGTTTTGATCTCTTTGTATATGTGCATACTGTATTAAATTCAAGCTTATGTTCAATATGTGCATGTTATGATTGTTTCTTTCTTGCTTTTTTTTTTTTTTTGAGTTGGAGTCTCACTCTGTCGCCCAGACTGGGCTCCGGCGATCCTTCCGCCTCAGCCTTCTGAGTAACCGGAATTACAGGCGCGTGCTACCACGCCCGGCTGATTTTTTGATTTATTGTAGAGATGAGGTCTCGCTGCCCAGGCGGGTCTCGAACTCGCGGGCTCAGGCAATCCATTCACCTCAGCCTCCCAAAGGCGTGGGATTACAGGCTGAGCCACCAAGCCCAGCTATGATTGTTTCTTAACATGCATAATTTCTGGTTGTTGTAATTAAATTTCTTTTAGTGTATTTTCAGATCCCTAAAAAGTTTCATGTGACAATGTATTGCTTCATTTTGTAGTACTAAATAGTACCCATCCTATAATAAGACAAAAGTGGGGAGCTTTGACCTTGGACTTTATTTAAACTTTTATTTTTTGCTTTTTTTTTTCTCTATCCCTCTCAATATTTACCTCTTTGATATATCTGGTACTTACAGATTATGTATAAAACAGTTCATGATTTCTAGTAGCTTTCATTCTAAAAGTTACTAGTATAATTTACTTGACTAATCAGCATTATATATGCAACACTGCTTTAAGGTTTAACTACTCTAATTTGCAGAGAGAGAACTTACTTTGGAAGTTGAGAGGATGAGACTGGAACATGGAATAAAACGACGAGACAGATCGCCTTCTCGTTTGGATGCATTTCTAAAAGGCATTGAAGAAGAACGAGATTATTATAAGAAAGAACTAGAAAGACTCCAGCATATAATACAGCGAAGATCTTGCTCTACAAGTAATAGTGCACGTGAAAAGAGTTCAACATTTAGAACACAAGATAAGGTAATGTTCCCTTACAAGAGTAAGTAATAAGGCAAGAGAGTATCTTTATGAATAAACTCTTCTGGTTTATTACTGTATCAAGTGTGACTTTATTCACACTTGCTTTATTGACCTATACTGTAGGAACACTGCATGAATTAGGAAAACTACCTAGGAACAAAGTGTAGCAGTGATTCCTGGAAGTTAAAGGTTGGAGTAGCTGCCGGGCTCGGTGGCTCAGCCTATAATCCCACGCTTTGGGAGGCTGAGGTGAGTGGATTGCCTGAGCCTGCGGGTTCAAGGCCCACCTGGGCAACTTGGCGAGACCTCATCTCTACAATAAATCAAAAAATCAACCGGGCATGGTAGCGCGTGCCTGTAATTCCAGCTACTCGGAAGGCTGAGGCAGAAGGATCGCTGGAGCCCAGCAGGGCGAGGCTACGGTGGCCTGGAGCGGCCACTGCACTCCAGTCTGGGCGACAGAGTGAGACTCCAACTCAAAAAAAAAAAGCTGGAGGAGCTGAGTCGTGGGAGAAGTGCAGAGGTACCTGGAACCCAGGGATTCATGTTGTTGGACATACCCTTCTTTAGAATTTACTTTCTCTGTCAGCTGCATTTTCCCTCTTGCAGCAGAGTGACTTTGTCCACATGGTGGGCACATGACGACATGTCATTTTCAGCCGTGAGTCAGTTAGGAAGGGGGGTCACATTCCACTGACCAGGCATCTTCCCTATTAACCATGTTATGGGAGATGGGTAGAAATTGCACGTGGGTCTCAGATGATTCTGTTTATCCACTACAACCATATTTGTCAGGTTAGACAACTGTATTTGTCTGAAGATGTCCTCTTTGAATATTATTTTCTTTTTCTTTTTTTTTTTTTGACTTGGAGCCTCACTCTGTTGCCCAGGCTGGAGTGCAGTGGCATGCTCACAGCCACCACAGCCTCAACCTGCTAGATTCAGGCGATCCTTCTGCCTCAGCCTTCCAAGTGCTGGAACCACAGGTGTGCGCCACCACACCCAGCTAATTTTTTGATTTAATGTAGAGATGAGGTTTCACTATGTTTCCCAGGCTGATCTTGAACCCCTGGGCTCATGCAGTTCTCTCACCTCCACCTCCCAAAGTACTGGGATTACAGACTTGAGCCACCAGGCCTGGCTTGTATATCATTTTCTAATTGCAACTTCCATTGTGTATATAAAGTTGACCATGGTTCACGAGAGATTGAAATAATGTGTCTCTATTTTAGATCTCAGTTCATTTTCAGTGTTTTATGAGTATCATTTGCGTTCTACAGGTTTTTTTTTTTCCAAGCTTTGGTGATGTATGAGTCCTGAAGGTTTTCATTCTGCATGCTAGGTAAAATTAGGGGAAGTCTGGAAAAGGGGAGGAGTCATTAAAACTCAGAACATTTGGTTTCAGACTTGACTGTGTTTATCAGTTCTGTCATCTTTTCCCTGAAGATCTTGTGTGCATTGTCAAACAACGTTGTCTCCTGATTAGACTTTGTTTTTTAACTTCATTGGCTAATGTCTGAATTTTGATTGATAGTTGTCACTACAATAGTGATGATGATAGCGGATCTTCTGAATTTTACTGGAACAGCAGGTATATTCTTGCTTTAGAATTGCCAGAATTAGTTGCTTAGTCAGTGAACATCCTTAATATACACTCTCTGGAAGTATTGACATTTATTTGATTGTAGAAATACACATTACTTAAGTCCAAAGGTGAGACATTTGGAGGGTTGGTGTACCTGGATATCGATCTTAGATTCAGTCACTGAGGAATGTTCTAGACTCTTGTAGTTATTTGCATTGGGTTAGCAGGCACACACACACCCTCCTGATCCCTTCTCTGGAGAGGATTTAGACTACTGGTTCTCAAAAATTAGCAGGCATCGGAATCACAAAGTTTCTGACTGAATATGTCTGGGATGGGCCCCTAAATTTGCCTGTCTGACAAATTCCTGGATGCTGCTGATGTGTCTGGTCTGGGGATTACACAGTAAGTACCACTAGTATGAACAACTCTGGGAGAGTGAAAATTGGATCTGATAAAGTGGTATCACTGGCAACAAGGCCCCTTCTGGGAACTTGAAGGCCAGGAAGTTTGCCCTTGTACTGCCAGTGTTCTCATTATAGATTTAAAAAACTGTATTCCTTAATTACTGTATAGATTTTAAAACTGTATTCCTTAATTAAAAGAACCTGTGTCCTTTTTTGTCGTTCGTTCTCATCACCAGCATCCCTGTGACAACCAGGTGGTAATGATTATGACAAATGATAACTTCTTTTTTTCATTATGTTTCAGGGTGATTACAATTCAGCTGTTCATCAGATTACAAGAGAAAGAGATGAACTTCAGCGTATGCTAGAAAGATTTGAAAAATATATGGAGGATATACAGTCCAATGTTAAATTATTGACAGCAGAAAGAGATAAACTAAGTGTGTTGTATAATGAAGTAAGAAATTTATTCTAATTAAGCCAACTGATTATATAGAACCAGTTAACTATAATGGAGCTAGTTATGTATCCTTCAAATTACTATAATATATGGACCTGTGATAGTTCTTCATAATTAGAATTATAAGTGGTAGTTTCTACTATCATCCTATTCCTAAATCAGAGATTTATTTTTTCACATATTTATTTTTCCTCTTTTCTAGTCTATCTGTATGTCAGGTCAGTTAGAGATTGTCTCCTTTTTCTAAACTGCTTTGAGAGGAGGAGTCATGCAAGTTAAGAGGTCAAATTGAAAGAGCCTTTTTCGCGGGCTCGGTGGCTCAGCCTATAATCCCGCACCTTTGGGAGGCTAAGGTGAATGGATTGCCTGAGCCTGCGGGTTCGAGACCCACCTGGGCAGCGAGACCTCATCTCTACAATAAATCAAAAAATCAGCCAGGCGTGGTAGCGCATGCCTGTAATTCCAGCTACTTGGAAGGCTGAGGCAGAAGGATCGCCGGAGCCCAGCAGGTTGAGGCTGCGGTGGCCGGGAGCGGCCACTGTACTCCAGTCTGGGCGACAGAGTGAGACTCCAACTCAAAAAAAAAAGAAAGAGCCTTTTTCACTTTTTGAGTTTTTTGGAAAAGATTGGCAGGGCCAATTGATCCACTTCTGGGCTTTCCCCATTGTTGGCTTAGATATCAGCTTTCTTTGTCTGCTTCGTTAATTGTCTGTCTGCTGCTCTCTAGTTTACAGCATTTTGTGGCTGGCACCATCCTTGATCTCCTTATCTTTTTGGTTTTATTATTTTTACTATTTGAACTTTTTTACTCTCATTTTGTTGGGATTTGGGAAGAGAGTGAAGGTAGCATGTGTTCAGTATGCCTTTTTTAACTGGGAGCATATTCAAAGTGTTTTTATTTATATCTTTGACTTTTTATTTAAGGCTCAGGAAGAATTATCTGCCCTAAAACAGGAATCTGCCCAAACTGCAGCCTCCCATAATATTGTTAGTATTATGGAAAAGGAAAAAGAACTTGCGTTATCTGATTTAAGAAGAATTATGGCAGAAAAGGAAGCTTTAAGAGAAAAGTTACAAGTAAGTAATACGATGACATATTTTTATATTTTTGTTGAGAAAAAGAGGTCTTTATATACATTTTCCTGTGAAGTTACTATTTTGAATGCATAACTAGATTAGGAGTTGGGTAACAGCAGCATGCAAGCCAAATCCAGACCACTTTGTGTATGTATGGCCTGTGAGCTAAGAATGGTATAAGAAGAGTATTTCATTGTCGATAAAGTGTTACTGGGATACCTTGCTCATTTGTTTACGTATTATCTGTAGCTTCTTTCACAGAAATATGACCCACAGAACCTAAAATATTTACTGTCTGGTTCTTCACAGAAAAAGCGTGCTGACCCCAACTCAATAGGAAGTTTCTTATGTAGAGAGACGTAGTTTTTTTTTTATTAACAACTTTATAGAGATATTCACATACTATACAATTCACCCATTTAAAATGTACCAATCCAGTGGTTTTTAGTATAGATACTTCTTGACTTATAATAGGATTATATATCAAAGTCACCATAAATCAAAAATATCTTAAGTTCAAAATACATTTAATAGCCCAATAAAATAGTTGAAAAATCTTGAGTCAAGCCTCTGGAAGTCCACATGCTCCTCAGCTTATGATGGGATTATGTCCCGATAAAGCCGACTACGGTCAAGAATATCATAAGTCAGGTAACATCTGCATACTCACAGACTTGTGCAACCATCACCAGAGCCCGTTTTAGAGCATTTTCATCGCTTCAAAAAGAAACCCCATAACTCATGAGCATCACTCCCCATTTCCTACTTTTTTCTTGCCCCCTTAACCACTAATACACTTTTTGTCTCTGTAGATTTGCATACTTGGGCATGTCATATAAATTGAATTATTTAATATGTGACTTTTAAATGTCTGGCTTCTCTCATTAGCATAATGTTTTCAAGATTCATCTCTGATTCTTGTTGCTAGGAACCGATGTACAACTTCTTGGTGAATATGTATTTTCATTTCTCTTGGGTAGACACCTGGTCGTACAGTAAATCTGTCTTTAACCATTGAGGCCAAGCTGTTTTCCAAAGTTGGCTTCACCATTTTACATTTTCACCAGCAGTGAATAAGGCTTCTTTTTTCTCCACGTCCTCATCAATACTTGTTACTGCCTGTCTTTTGTATTTTAGTCATTCTGGCAGATGTGAAGTCATGTCCATTGTGGCTTTGCTTTGCATTTCCCCAAAGGTTAATGATGTTAAGCATCCTTTCCTGCTACTGGCCATTTTCGATATCTTATTTTGGAGAAATGTCTGTTGAGATTCTTTTAAAAAGAATTTTAAAATTAGACTCTTTGGCTCATTCTTATTGAGGCAGAAGAGTTATTTGTATATTCTTGATCTAACCCCTTATCAGATAGATATGTTATTTGCAAGTATTTTTCCCTTATTCTGAGGGTTATTTTTTTTGCTCTCTTTATGGTGTCTTTGAAAGACAAAAGATTTTCATTGGTTTGGTTTTGTTTTGTTTTTGAGTCAGAGTCTCAGTCTGTAACCCAGGCTGGAGTGCAGCGGCACTGCTCACAGCCACCCCAGCGTCGACCTGCTGGGCTCAGGCCATCCTTCCTCCTCAGCCTTCCAAGTAGCTGGAACCACAGGCACACACCACCACGTCCAACTAATTTTTTGATTTATTGTAGAGACGTGGTCTCGTCAAGTTACCTAGGCTGGTATCAAACTCCTGGGCTTAGTCAGTCCTCTCGCCTCTGCCTCACAAAGTGCTGGGATTACAGGCGTGAGCCACCACACCTAGCAAAAACTTTTAATTTGAATGGAGTCCAATTTATCTATTTTTTTCTTTTGTGCATTTGATGGCAGATATATCTAGGGTCAATATTTTATATTTTTTCATAATTTCCCCAAAATAAGTGCATTAATACATGTACTACACTTAATGCTTAGCACATTATAAGTCCTAAATATTGTTATTATAGAGTCCGTAGTTTACTTACAATTAATATTATTAAATTTATGCTTTGAAAGTAGCAGCTAAAATTAGGAATAAAAACATTCAAGCATTAGAAGGGTAGTCTTTATGTCACAAATGTTCAGTTAAAAGTTTTACCCTAAAAATAACAGTTGAAGAATACTTTTAATTGGAATCTTTTGGAATACTGCCTTTCAGAAAGTGTTTTCTTATAAAAATAAGTGTTAGAATTACCAAATGGGAAACTTCTGTGCAGTATGGCAGCTTTTAGCATAAGCTACTGCCTTATCCTTTTCCATGTGTGTGGAATTGACCAAGGAATGTAAAAACAGAATTTTTTAAAATGTGGTAGTACTAAAAACTTGAAAAAAAATAACATTCATATTACCAGAATCCTTCTGGGTTGTAGGAGGCAAGATTTTGTGAGTTTACAGCAGGCCTTTTACTTAAAAAAACGGAACAAATCTCAATTCTTAGGCCTCTTCTACCTAATGTTTCCTGTTATTTCATTATCTAACTGGTTATCAAATGCAGGCATCAGCCATCAGCCATCATTAAACTGTCCCTGAAAGCTCAGATCTCAATCAACAGTTTCTATCTGTGCTACCTCTTCAATAATACTTAACATATATGCAGCCCTTCCCACACGTGGGACTCTGTTCTAAGTGTATGAGCTGTCTCCGTTAATCTTCACAGTAGTCTTTTCTGAACTTACAGATGAGGTCTCTGAGTTACAGTGACTTTATTTTATTTTTTTATTTTTATTTTTATTTTTTATTTTTGAGTCAGAGTCTCAGTCTGTCACCCAGACTGGAGTGCAGTGGCCGCTCCCGGACGCCTCAGCCTCAACCTGCTGGGCTCCGGCGATCCTTCCGCCTCAGCCTTCCAAGTAGCTGGAACTACAGGTGTGTGCTACCATGCCCAGGTAATTTTTTGATTTATTGTAGAGATGAAGTTTCGCCAAGTTGCCCAGGCGGGTCTCGAACCCGTGGGCTCAGGCAATCCACTCGCCTCGGCCTCCCAAAGTACTGGGATTACAGGCTGAGCCACCGAGCCCGGCTTACAGTGACTTTAAGTAACTTGTCCAGGGTCACCCAGTTAGTCCCACGGAGTCTGGCTCCTGAGCTTGAGGTGCTTCCTCTTGAATTTGTGTACTTTGTTCCGCTGTTCTGATCATTGTTCTCTCTTACCTGCATGATCGTATTCGTGGCCTCTATACTAGTCTTGTTTCTCTCAAATCTATGTTTCACAATGAAATAAGAGTTTTCTTTCGAAGATACAAATATAATCACATCACCTCCTTTTTAAAAACCATTAACTGTTTTCAAGAACTGAAATGCTTGGCCCTTGCCTACTTCAAGGTCTAGTCTCTTTTCCCAAACACATTTCCTCTGTTCATCATCCCGCTTTTTCTCAAGACTCCTGACTTAATGGGTTCTTCTTCTTGCCTCCAGCCTTCTGCCTAGTCTGTTGAAAGATTCCTTCACACCTTTCAGTCTCCTTATCTAGCTCATTCCTATTCATCCTTTGTGTCCAGTTAAACACTATTTCTTTTGATAGGAAATGAACCCTAGAGTCTAGATTCCCTTTTGATATGTTAGCATAAAGTTTCTTTTCCTAGCAGAATATTTGTGACTTTTATTTTAAGCTCTTTTTTAAGGTTTATCTTTTCTACTAGGTTAAAATATCTGTGAAGTTAAAGACTTTATTCATTTTACCCACTACTGTATTCCTAACACCTTGCTTGGTTTAGAGTATGTACTCAATTAATACAAGTTGAATGATTTAATAAACGGTTAAACACATACAGTACAGTGATGCTTTCAGCCAAATGTATAGCCAAGGCATCAGATGTCTTTATTTAGTTTTAATAATATTTTATTTTAATAACATGGATGGAAATAAGAGTCCACATTAGGAAAATTCTCAGTGGACACCAAGTTAAAAAACTTACCCTAGACTTAGCAGAAGCAAGTGCTAAATAAGGTAAAATAACTGATGACCAGTCCATTCGTGAAACTGATGACCAGCTTATTCTTGTCTTGTCTTGGTTTGCATTCTTTTTCTCTTACATCTCGTCTTGTGAGGATGTACCCCTGAGCTCTGCTGGTTTTGCCCTTTTTTATAGTTGTGCTATTATGAATTAATCTGTATAAATCTTTATAAATGAGTTCATACCAATCTGATTCTTCTGCTGTAATCACACATGGAGGCAGCGAATGTAAAAGATGAGAGCCTATTGTGCCTTTTTTAAAAACAAAAGCATGATTTTTGTTTAAAGTCTAATGAGTTTCTTTCTAAAACATTTCTGTGTTTTTATGAAAAGACAAATATAATAGCATTGTAGACTTGTATTGCTTACTTTGGTGATTTTGTTTTATCTGATAGAAATGAACATTTTCTATAAAATTCTTTTTTAGAATATCCAGGAAATGAATCTTCTTGGAAAATCAGAATTAGAAAAAACAATTGAACATTTGACACGTGTTAATCATCAGGTAATTTATCAAACTGGATTTGGTGTATATTGTTTTATATGAGTAACTATGTTAATTAGAGTTTGGATACACTATCTCAATTATAGTTTGGATACACTATCTTTTCAAAATTACCATAGCCAGGCGTGGTGGCACATGCCTTTAGTCCCAGCTACCCAAGAGGCTGTGGTATAGATTCACTTGAGCCCAGAAATTGGAGGCTGCAGTGAGCCATGATCATGCCACTGCACTCTAACCTGGGTGACAGAGTGAAACTGTGACTCTTTAAAAAAGAATTACAAAATATATGGTAGGAAAACTGTGTAACAGCAGTTGAGAGTATGTACTCTGAAGGCTGATTACTTGGGTTCAAATCCTCTTCTGCCTCTGTTCCCTATAGGCAAGTTACTTAACCTTTCTGTCCCTAATGTCTTTATTTGTAAAGTAGGAACAATGCTAGTACTTCTTGGAGTTTTTGTGAAAACTAAATGAGTTAATACATATGAGTAACTTAGAAGATAGAAACAAAAACCTGAGTACCACATGTTGTGTCACTCATAAGCAGACCCTGAACAATTATCATAATACTATAAGAAAGGGATTGGCAGTAGTGGGAAACTGCCAGGGGAGTGGGGTGCACACTTCATCAGTAAGGGTACTTGATCTTAAACCAGGCGAAGTGGGGACCAAAGTGAGGCCCATACTTTACCTGTACAATGACCATTTGTATATGTAATCCTGAATTGCACCAATCTTTTTATTTTATTTATTTATTTATTTTTATTTTTTTATTTTTTGAGTTGGAGTCTCACTCTGTCACCCAGACTGGAGTGCAGTGGCCACTCCCAGCCACCGCAGCCTCGACCTGCTGGGCTCCGGCAATCCTTCCGCCTCAGCCTTCCAAGTAGCTGGAACTACAGGTGCACGCTACCACGCCCGGCTCATTTTGATTTATTGTAGAGATGAGGTCTCGCCAAATTGCCCAGGCAGGTCTCGAACCCGCGGGCTCAGGCAATCCACTCACCTCGACCTCCCAAAGGCGTGGGATTATAGGCTGAGCCACTGAGTCTGGCTGCACCAATCTTTAAAATTAAAATTAAAAAGAAAATCTTAGAAGAATACCGATGTATTATAAGCACTTAATAGATATTAGCTGTGATTATTGATTTGCTCTTTTTTAAAAAAACTCACATAATACGGACATAGAAGAAAAAGTGAAATTCTTAATTTCTCTAGAGATAAGATTTTTAACAGTTTGGTATGTCTCCTAACAGTCTTTTCTCTGTTTCATTCTGAGTGGTTTCTGTGATTATGTCTTCACTGTTTTAATTTATTTGTTTTTGGATTCTATCATCTGGGTTGGTTGCTTTTTCACTTTACTGTGGGTTGTATTTTCCTGCTTCTTTGCATGCCTGGTAATTTTAGACTGGGTGCCAGACATTGTGAATTTTACCATCTTGGTTGCTAGATAATTTGAATTCCTATGACTACTCTTGAGATTTGTTCGGGGAGGCAGTTAAATCACATAGAGGTAGCCTCACCCTTGCTCTTTGGCTTTTTAAGGTGGAACCAAAGTAGCATTTAGTCTTGGGCTAATCTTACTTCACTACTGAGATAAAAATCTTTTGAGTATACTACCTGTTGCCACATGATTTTGAGGTTTTCAGATGACTGATGGAACAGGACCTTTTCATGGCCCTGCATGAGCTTTAAAAATTGTGCCCTCAGTTCATTAATTGTTCATTCTTTGACATTGGGCGCTTTCTCTGCTGAGCTCTACTCAGCTAAAGACTTAAAGGGTACCCTGTTTAGATCTCTGGAGCGTTCACTTTGCACAGCTCTCCTCCAGTATCTGTCCTGCAACCTTTAGCTACCTTGGCTGTCAGTCCTGTCTTCTGAACTTAGAGGAGACACTGGGCTCCAGCTGGGTTCCTTTCCTTGTGCTACAACGTGGAAATTCTCCAGGCAGTAAGCCAGGGCAATCATAACACTAGTCACATTTGTCTCCTTGTCCCTCCGGAGTCACTGTCATTTTCTGATGCCCATGGTCTAGAAAACCATTGTTGCATGTATTTCATCCAATTTTTTAGTTATTTCAGGCAGGAGGACAGATCTGATCCCTATTACTCCAGCTTAACCAAAAGCTAAAAGCAAGAACTAATAAATATGTCTGAAGGAAGTACTAGAAGTCATTGGAAAGAGACTAGGAGGTAGCAAATATTTAAAAAGTTAAAATGTTAGAGAATAGAGTGAGAAGGTCTAACATTCTGACTGATATTTAATTAGAATTCAAGAAGACTGTGATAGAATGTGAGAGGCAGTATTTGAAGAGATGATAACTGAGTTTTCTAGATATTATGAAACACAGGAATCCTCTGATTCCAAATGCACAGTGAATCCCAAAAGCTTGACAAATCCCAAGCAAGATGAATAAAAAGAAAATACATACCATTTTAGTTGTCATAAGTGATACAAGTTACCTATGGATAAATTTAGAGGATCTTTATAGGAAACATACAGTTGTATTAAAAGACATTTAAAGAAGGTCTAAATAAGTGAAATGATATGCCAGGTTTATTAAAAAGGTGATAGATAATGTTTATAAAAATAATATTAACTTTCCCCAGTTTGATCTATAGAGTTGATGTAGTTCTAGCTGAAATCCCAAGAAAGTAGTGTTTGTGTGTCTATGAGAAAATTGATGATAGGTTCTGAAATTTACATGGAAGCAAAGAGTCAAGAATCCCATAGAAATTTTAAATAAGAACATAGTGCTGAGCTTGCCCTGTCAGATATGAAGCCTTAGGGTCATAATAATTAAGGCATAGATTAAGAGCAACTGATAAAATATTTAGTAGAGAGCAAACCTACAAATATAAGGAAATTTTATCTATGAATGAATTCAAATCAATGGGAAAAGGAATGATTATTCAGTAATTATTTCTGGGCCTATGGGCTGTGTATGTGGGTGGGTGTGAGAGTGTGTGTGTGTTTTAGAGAAAGTATCTTGCTCTGTTGCCCAGGCTGGAGTGCAGTGGCATGATCATAGTAGCCTTGAACTCCTGGCCTCAAGTGATTCTTCTGCCTCAGCCTCTCAAATAGCTGGAACCCACAACACCATGCATGGATAATTGTTTTTTGTTTTTTTTGTGGAGACAGGGTCTCACTATCCTGGCCTCACATGGTTCTTTCACCTTGGCCTCCGAAAGTTCTGGGCTTGCAGGCATAAGCCACCACACCAGTCATATTTAAAAAGAAGAAGTTAGATCCTACCTCAAATATACCATACCCCAAAATCAGTTCAAGGCTACTTGTGCCTTGACTGTTCAAGAAATAACTACAGTTTTTAAAGAAATGCAAAAGGAAAATCTTACTGCTCTTAGAGAAATAATAATAATAGCAGTCATTTATATAGCATGTGTCAGAAATTCCATGTGTTTGACATTCTTCTCAACATTTTATACACTTTTAATTTTTACAGCAATCATATAAAATAAATAAATCCTGGTTTTTAGGATTTCTGCTGAGAAGTCTATTGTTAGTCTGATAGGTTTACCTTTATAAGAATTTGATGTTTTTATCTCACTGATTTAGGATTCTTTCCTTCACGTTAACTTTGCATAACCTGATGACTCCATGCTTTGGGGGTGACGTTTTCACAGTGAATCTTCCAGGAGTTCTTTGGGCTTCTTATATCTGGCAAGACCAAGGAAGTTTTCTTCCATTATTCCCTCAAACAGGTTTTCCAAACCTGTTGCTTTCTTTTCTTCCTTAGGAACACCTATGAGTCTGAGGTTTGACTGTTTTACATAATTTCATATTTCTTGAAGACTTTGTTCTATTCTTTTGATCCTTTCTTCTTTATTGTCTGATTGGGTTAATTCAAAAGCTTTGTCTTCAAGTTCTGAGATCTTTTTTTCTGCTTGTTCTAATCTACTGTTAACACTTTCCACTGCATTTTGTACTTCCCCAAATGAGTCTTTCATTTCCAGAAGTTCTGCTGCTTCTTTTTTTTTTTTTAGAGTGTCTTTCTCTTTGGAAATTTTTTTTTTTTTTTTTTTGAGTTGGGGTCTCACTCTGTCACCCAGACTGGAGTGCAGTGGCCACTGCAGCCTCGAACTGCTGGGCTCCGGCGATCCTTCTGCCTCAGCCTTCCAAGTAGCTGGAACTACAAGTGCGTGCTACCACGCCTGGCTAATTTTTGACTTATTGTAGAGATGAGGTCTCCCTAAGTTGCCCAGGTGGGTCTAGAACTCGCGGGCTCAGGCAATCCACTCACCTCAGCCTCCCAAAGTGCTGGGATTACAGGCTGAGCCACCGAGCCTGGCTTGGAAAATTTCTTATTCATGTTCTGAATAGTTTTTTAAAATTTCTTTATGCTGGTTTTGAACTTTCTCCTGGATCCATTGAACAAGTTTATAATCAACCTTTTGAAGTCTATCTCTGTAATTAAAGATTTCATTTTGGTTAGGGTCTATTGCTGAGGAATCAGTTTGTTCTTTTGGAGGTGTTAAAGAACTCTGTTTTTTATATTGTCAGACTTATGATCCTGGTTCCTTCTCATTTGGGTAGACTATTCTTACTTGAGGTTTTCAGGGGACTGACATCGGCACTGTAGGGTTCCTTGGTATATAACCCTTGGTATATAGTCTTGGTGTGGCAGGTCTCTCAGTTGCCAGCTGTGGCAGTGATGTGCCGGGTACCTGCACTGGCTTAAGGCATCCTGAGTAGCTGGGGTGGCTTGGATAGTGGTGTGTTAGCCGGAGTCTGGGATCAGACCTTCCTAAAAGCTGAGGTATTATATTAGATGTAATGGACTGTGCCTGTTGACCTCTGGCCAGGAGCTGGCGCTTGTGGGAGACAGCCAGCCGCAATAGTGGCTGTGGACTTTCTCCTTGACCTGTTTTGCCCCACGGGAGGTGACCAGCTGAGCCTGGCGATGGGCAGGGCTGTGAGCAATACCTGAGTTCCCTGTCCATTTTGAGCCTTCAAGAGGTGTGGGGGACGGGAGCACTCAAGCTCCCCATCTGTGTGTGCTGTCACCTACCCCAGTGGAGATTAGATTGCCCCAGCTGCTAGGGCAGCACTGTACTGTACTGTACACTGTAGTACACTGTACTACACTGTACTGTAGTACAGAAGCTACACAAAAGAGTTTATATGGGAAGTGAAAAGTTGCTACTGCAAGGAGTCCACCCAGCTCTCCACCTTAGCCCCAGGTCTTCTCGTGGTCCATGCCAGCCAGGAGCTATCTGCTGCTGTGGAGTTGATCCTTAGGGCAAAGGCAAGTGTCAGGTCCTCCCATTCCCCCCAAGGCCTGCAGGAAAGTAGCTGTCAGAATAGGTGGAGTTCCCTGGAAATGGTGGCTGGAGCTGCTCGGGACTTTTTTCCTGGACCATTCCACATGGGTTTCGGCAGAGCGCAGCAGCTATGGATAAGGCAGCTTCCCATGAGGGACTGTAGTCCTGCATGGCTCAGGGAGCTTTCCAAGTCTGTGGCAGGAACACAGAACTTCTGAATTTTGCTGTACTTACCTCCCCTGCTGTGTCTGGAGGCTGCTTGTGGTTTGTGTGGTGATTCAGGCAAGTCTGGCTAATTCCAGCTGGGCTGATCAATTTCTGTCTTCTTTTTACTCTCTGGATCTTGTGTCTTTGGTGAATTGTGGGTGTGCTGCTGCTCTTGTTCCTCTCTGAGTGCTGAGAAATTCTTGGTTTTTGTTTACTCCATGGGAGAAACACTCTAGATGATTCTCATCATTCCCCTACTCTTTTATTTTTGAAGAGTTTATCCTTTTCCCATTTCCCCAAAATGCTACTTTTTCTAAATTTACATCTGTACATATTTTTTTAATGACTTTTAGTTTCATATGTTTGCTTTGTGAAATCCTCACTGTTTTAGTTACAGTAGTTTTATAGTTAGTTTTGATATCTCATAAGGCAAGTCTACCTGCATTCTTTTTCTCCCCCAATTCTTTTTCTTAACTCTCTTTTTTCTTAAATAAATTCAGAATCCTATCTAAGCCATTTCCCCTTTTAAAAAAGCTTCGTTAGGACTTTTTATTGGAACTTAATTGAATTTATGATTATTTGAGGACATTTTAATACATTTACAGTGTTGTGTATCCATCCAGAAACATGGTGAGCCTTTATGTTGTCGGGTTATGTTCTTTGCCCTTCAAGGAAGTTTTACAGTTTCCTCATGTAGCTTTTGCCCATTTTGTTTGGGTTATAGTATTTTGGCTCTGGGTTTTTCTCAATTCAGTCCCAAAGTTTTTACTCTGCTGGTGGTTTCCCTTCCCGTTTCATTGTTATTAATGGATATATTAATATTTTTCTATTCTTTTTATTTTTTCATTTGTATCTTTTAATTTCAAACATCGTGAGGAGGAGAGAGATCAATGTTTATGCCCATCCTGACATCTAGAACCTAATCTATACACATGAACTTTAAAGTGTTTTTAAAATAAGTCTAATTTATTTCTTAGTTTTCTTTCAGAAAATATGATTAAAGAGTGCCTAGGAAAAATAAAATTAAGGTACTAAGATATATACCTATTATCTTTTTTAATTTAAATTATAGCTTGAAAGCGAAAAATATGAATTAAAGTCTAAAATGTTAATAATGAAAGAAACAATAGAGTCATTAGAGAACAATTCAAAACTCCAAGCTCAAAAACTTAGCCATGTGGCTGGTGACTCATCTTATCAGAAAACAGAGATGAACTCACTTAGGTAAGTTTATTGAAAGTTTTCTAATTTTACTTCTGGGAACATGTTTGTGGTTATATAAGGTTTATAACCACAGCATTTTGGATTGGACCTTTGAGCAGTAGTTTTTAAAGTTAGCCTTGGAACAGAATCACCTGGGAGCTTTTGTAAAGTATACTGTTGGGCTGATTTTTGGAGGTTCTACTTGAGTATATATGAGTAGACTTGATTATCTATATTTTGAAACTTTTTCACAGATTAATATGATTGCAGGCAAGTTTTTGACCCACTCCCTTTTAAAATCCTCTTTAACAAATACTTCAGATCATTTGTATTCCATTGTGTAGAATTACTGAAAATTACAGAATTTTTTGCTACCAAGGCCATTATCTTTCTCTTTTTTGCTTCTTTCAGAGAAATGTGAAGTCAGAATATTTATCTCTTATTTTTAACTTTTTCTAACTTAGAAATTTTTAACTGGTGGGTGAGAGTTATGAGTATAGGTTTTAGGAAGCGAACGCTTATGGAAATACAGAATATGGATTTGAAGTCTTAGAGGCTCATGGCAAACAGTGGACACCAAAGGTATGAACTAAAACAGTGGCACTGAACTTGGTGAGCAGAGGTCAGATTTAAGTAACATCTCTTACACCAATCAAAATGCTTGGATATGGAGAAGGAAGAGACGATGAGAAGAAAGAGAGACAACATTTTACCTTAGGATATTGAGTTGTTAGTTAGCCATTAGTCATTTTAGAATACAGAAGACTCAAACAGTAAGTAAAAAGATACCGAAGGTCAGAAGAAGGAACCACTCTGAAGAGTCAGAGGAAATAACTCTTTCTAAATTACATTTGCAGTAAGAATCAGGAAAAGATTTTCAGATGTCAGCAATACATTACATCTGTGATACTAAATCAGTTCTGAAGCAGTAACAACTTGAGATCAGAAAGGATTATAGTAATGATGATTTTAAAAAATGATTAACAAATTAAAACAGAAAGGTTAATGAATGATATTATATATTGCAGAAAATTGAGTTAGTTAAATAGAAAACGAACTCCAGAACTCAAAAGGGCAAAAAGAAATGAGAAAAGAAGTCACAAATTTCAATATACAAAAACTAAGAGTCACAAAAGTGCATAATAAAATAAAGCAAAAGTGAGAATAAAGGAACAATTAGAAAAAGACATATCTGAGAATGTAGTTCATAAGGGCCCCTTGGTTATCAAAGGACTTATGAAATAAGGCCAAGGGCTGAAGTGTCTGGTTAACAAAGGAATACAGCGCAGCTCATTTTGCTCTTTTGCTGTTCTGACTGTAGTTTGATATGTTAGACTTTAGGAAGAGCTAAGGTAGATGCTCCCCACCCCCCTTCTTTGTTTTTCTGCAGGCACTACAGTATGCCCTAGGAGGAGAGCTGATGGGCCAGCATCTCCTCTTCTGGCTTATGTCTGTGTTCAACTCCAGAGTACAGATCCCATGGCATATTTTTGTCACCCAGAATTACTAGTCTACTTTTTGTTCTTTGGTGTCCAGCTGACTGGATCTAGCATTTCATCCATTTTGCTTTTCCTTGAGATAATATCTAAGATAACTCTTTATTTTCCTCACAAAAGGCTTTTCCAGTCTTACAAAGCAGAGATTTTGTACCCTCTCTTGGATAATTCAGCTGACAACTCCTTCAGAGTTTTCTTTCTGATCCTTTTTTCTTGTGAGCTCAGTCCCCCTCTTCCCATACCCAGGAGTAATTCAGTCACTGTGCCATAAGAGGGGATTGTGAGAGTTTTCCTAACTACCTTGTGTAACCTGGGGATATGGCATTATTTCATAAGTTTATTTTGCTCTAACAGAAAAATATGACTCATCTTCTCTACTTAGGAAAGTGTGTCAGTCACATTCTCCATGTTAGTAAATGTTGGTAGAACCATGAGTTCAAGCCATTGGGTCTAAGTCCAAAGTAAAACCCAATACAAACCGTGATACCCAGCCCTCTGCAGAAGCAGAGCCACATTAGTCAAACCTCTTGCCACTTTTTAATTTTTTTATTAATTTATTTTTTTTCTTATTTTTTATTTTTTTTGAGTCGGAGTCTCACTCTGTCGCCCAGACTGGAGTGCAGTGGCCGCTCCCGGCCACCGCAGCCTCGGCCTGCTGGGCTCCGGCGATCCTTCTGCCTCAGCCTTCCGAGTAGCCAGAATTACAGGCATGCGCCACCACGCCCGGCTGATTTTTTGATTTATTGTAGAGATGAGGTCTCGCTGCCCAGGCGGGTCTCGAACCCGCGGGCTCAGGCAATCCACTCACCTCAGCCTCCCAAAGGCGCGGGATTACAGGCTGAGCCACCGAGCCCGGCTACTTTTTTATTTTTTTGAGTTGGAATCTCACTTTGTTGCCCAGGCTGCAGTACAGTGGTGTGGTCATGACCGCCAAACCATGGCCTCAGCTTGCTAATACGTGATACACAATACATCTACCTCAGCCTTCCAAGTAGTTGGAACTGTAGGCATGTGCCACCATGCCTGGCCAACCTTTTGATTTATTGTACAGGCAAGGTCTTGCCCAGTTGCCTAGGCTGATCTCAAACCCCTAGACTCAGGCATCATCTCTTGGTCTCCCAGAGTGCTGGGATTACAGACATGAGCCACCACGCCTGGCCCTTTTGCCACTTTCAGTATGATTCATAGAGCTCCTGCTACCCTTTATCATGGCAAGTTCTCTTTTCCTTGACATGGAGACGTTTAAGAAGCTGATGTTCAGGTAGTTGAAGTGTATGTTTCTCTCCATCTACCTGATGGAATCTCTTTCCCTTTCTGAATCAGGCATTTTTTCACCAAATGTTAGTGCTAATAAACAGGCTTTTCTATATCAGGCACAGTCTCTAATTGTCCAAATATAGGGTCTTTGATCTAGTATCTTGGTGCAGCATCAGAAGACATACACACTTTTTAACCACTTTTTAAAGTTTATGACTGTTGCCTCCCTTGAGTTGCCACGTTTAATGAGACCTGCCATTTTATACCCAGAATCAAAGCTCTGTAGTGCTATAAGGGAACTTCTCTCCTCTTCCCAGGGATGATAGCCCCCCCAGAGCATGCTAGCAAGTTCCAGAACCAAGGTCAGCAACCTTTTTTTGTAAACAGAAAGTCAATATTTTTGACTGTCTGGGCCATTCTGTTTCTGTCACGCCTGCTTAACCCTGCCTTTGTGAGTTGTAAGTAGCCGTTAACAATGTATAAATGAAGGAGTGTGGTTGTGTTCCAATATAACTTAATTTATGTACTCTGAAATTTGAAAATTTGAATTTCATTTGATTTTCATATGACAAATAATTTCCTGTTGAAAATTTTTTTTCAGTTATTAAACATGTAGAAACCGTTCATAGTTCTCAGGCCTTATAAAAGTAGGCAGCTGGTCACGGTTTGTCAACCACTGCTGAAGGATAAATTTCCAGTTCAGTCTCAGTCAACTCCAGCACCCTTAATCCTCACAACCACTAGCTATGGGGCTCTAAACGGTGAGAATCCTGCAGCTAAAAGTACCATCAGAGTTTTCAGTTTACCTTAGTCTTTATCTGTGTATGTTGTTCAAAACCAGACACAAATGCATGATAGAGCAGATTTTCCTGGAAATGACCCACAAACTCAGCTAGAGTTATATAACCAAAGACTCTTGGGAGAAATGTAAAATAAAGACAGGGATGCCACATCTGTCTCTTTTAAAGTTCCAAACCTACCTTTCTTAGATGGGACTTTAGTTTCATTTCTAGAGCTTGAATACTTCTTAAGAACAGAGGCTCCTTTAAGATGTTATTCTTGTTTAAAAGACAGTATATCATACAGGAAAACAATTACTTTTGGCCCCTAAAATGAGAATGTGCATAGCTTTTTGTAATATAACTGAGAAATCTGAAGCTCAGAGAGATGGACCTAGCCAATCTCATGTCTGGTAAGTGGATAGCCAGAACTTGACACAAGCTCTATTTTATTGCTTCACTCTCTTGTGGGAAGTCATTATTTCTCTTTGCCGTGCTTGTAGCACTTTTGAAGCTAAGAAACTGGTTCATTTTTCCTAACAACTTAGTTCTCAAAGTTTCCTTTTCTAACACCATTATAAACAAATAATATGTCAGTCTCTCATCTTTCCTATGAGATTTATGCCTCTGTTATTTCATTAAGAAGGTCTTTGTATTAGTAGCAGTCAGAAAAGCTACTTCCAAGTTCTGGTATGTAATCTGTCCTCCCCTTTCCTTTCTAAAATGGCAAAGCTGTTTTTAGGATTCACCCAAGGGCCTCTTTCATACATACATATATACATCAATCAAGATGTTACCTGATTTCCTTTGTTAACCTTGCTTTATTAGGCAATCATCCTACTTATAAAGTTAGATGTAAAGAAATCTTTACATTTCTGCTTAGAATTTTAAGTGCTGCCAGCCATTTGGTGTCTTTCAACAGGGACTCTTTGAGCCATTTTATTTTTGAAAGGACTCTGTATAGCTTCATGGCACCCATCTTCCCTTCCACACATAAGGTGTTGGTCTCCCTGTATTCGGCATAGAAGGCATTCTGATGTAGTACAAGAACATTGTTACCAAATTAGACTAGCCTGGATTTGCATCTTTTCTTTGCCTTTACTTGCTTTGTGACCTTGGACAAATTCATAGTTATTAATGTTTATTTCTGTAAAATTGGGAACTGTTCTAGGAATAAATGAGCTAATGTGTACAAAGCACCACTCTCTGTTTTTCTTTCCCATAGCACGATGGGTCTAGCCCTCGGGAGTAGCTTAAACACAGTATAGTCACCTGGACCTCACAGATAACTTAGAAAGTAAAAGTGCTTGAACCTAGTGACTTTCTAACTTGGTTTGGTTTAGCTGTGCAGTTACAAAGGAATCAGTCCCAACTTGATTCTCCTCCCTACCTGTTGGTCATCATCTACTTGCTATTACAACAGTCAGAGTCATGTATTTTTGTCTTTCAGAATACCTCAGTATTGCCACTAAAACTTCATTTCTGCAGAGATGTCCTGTCTTACTACTGGTGTCAGAAACCAAACCTGCTTCCCATTAGGCACTTCTAAGCTGAGCTACCCTTAGTATCTTCTTCACTGTCTTCTTCTCAAAGGCATGAACTTCCAGGTCAAGCCAAAAATCATTAGGATAGATGATAGGAAAGCAGATTTTTGCTGTTAGACCTTACAAGATCATTACTTCTGAAAAATAATCTTAGTAAGAAGTAACAGATTTCTCTGAAATTGTCTTTGTTGGTGACCACTTAGGCCTCTGTGTGTCCTTTCTTTTGCTTCCTGAAACCAATCATTATTCTTACATCCCTATTGCATTATAAGAAATGCCCACATTTTCGCGTACTGTGATTTCCAATTGACTAACCACCCACAAAGGTCAGAATAAGAAGAGTTGGTAGAGCTTGCTAAGATTATGAATAGTCCTTGGAAATGCCAAGCCATATTTTTTTTTTTTTTTTTTTTTTTTTGAGTTGGAGTCTCACTCTATTGCCCAGACTGGAGTGCAGTGGCCGCTCCCGGCCACCGCAGCCTCGCCTGCTGGGCTCTGGCAATCCTTCCGCCTCAGCCGGAATTATAGGCATGCGCTACCACGCCCAGCTGATTTTTTGATTTATTGTAGAGATGAGGTCTCGCTGCCCAGGCGGGTCTCGAACCCGCGGGCTCAGGCAATCCACTCACCTCAGCCTCCCAAAGGCACGGGATTACAGGCTGAGCCACCGAGTCCAGCTGCCAAGCCATACTTTAAGAAAAGGACTTCCCTATGGACTTTACAGCAACCCGGATGGATTTAGAGTCTATAATACTCAGTGATCTATCACAGAAACAAAGAACTGAATACCACACGTTCTCACTCATAAGTAAACCCTGAACATTTACCATAAGATTGTAAGAAAGGGATTGGCAGTAGTGGGACACTGCCAGGGGATAGGGGCACATAATATTAATAAGGGTACCTGATCTCAAACCAGGTGAAGTGGGGACTAAAGGGAGGCCCAGACTTTGCCTGTACAATGACCACTTGTATACCTAATCCTGAAATGTACCCTATATCTTTCAAATAAATAGATAAATAAATATTTTAAGAAAAGGACTTCTCTTTGCCTCCACTATTAGAAATAGAGTATAAGAGAAAAGGGTTGTTGTTAGGAACTGAGAAGAGCTTTAAAACTGCCAAGAAGCCTCTAGAAAGGAGTACACTATTAATTTGATTTTTATGCTGTATTATTTTTAGGAAGATGATTTTGGAAAAGAATAGTGGACAGCAAGAAATACTAATACATAATATAATGCCATTGTTTGTACTGGAAGAGCTTTAAAATAAAGAAACTTAAAATAATAAGAAATCAAAATATTTTTAAAGACATCTCATTTTAAAAAATTATTTCTGTGAGAGATAAAGAATACCATTTGTTTTTGTCTACTGATTCTTTAGGGTGGTAAATGAGCAGCTGCAGCGGTCACTGGATGATTATCAGCACCGACTTTACATAAAAAGAGATGAACTTGAATCAGCTCATGCACAAATTAAAATACTAGAGGAAAAAATAGGTAAATGTGTCTTTTCTTTTCTTTTTTTTTTTTTTGAGTTGGAGTCTCACTCCATCGTCCAGGCTGGAGTGCAGTAGCACACTCACCACCACCACAGCATTGACCTGCTGGGCTCAGGCGATCCTTTCGCCTCAGCCTTCCAAGTAGCTGGATCTGCAGGCAAGTGCTACCACACCCGGCTAATTTTTTTTATTCATTGTAGAGGTAAGGTCTTCCCAAGTTGTCCAGGCTGTTCTCAAACCCGTGGGCTCAGGCAGTCCCCTCACGTTGGCCTCCCAAAGTGCTGGAATTACAGGCTTGAGCCACTGCGCCCGGCCAGTAAATGTTTCTAAATTTTGTTTCTGCTAATCCTAATTTACTTTGTCTAACAAACATTTCCTTTCTTTTATAGATAAAATAAACCTTAAGATGACTTCACAGGATGAGGAGGCAAATGTAATGAAAAAGACCATTGGTGTTATTGATAAAGAAAAAGACTTTCTTCAGGAGACGGTAGATGAGAAGACAGAAAAGATTGCAAACTTGCAAGAAAACATAGCTAACAAAGTACATGAATGTTAAATATCATTTTCATTTGTTTGAGTTCCTTACATTCTGGTTATTAATCCTTTGTTGAATGAATAGGTTTTTTTGTTTGTTTTTTTGTTTGTTTTGAGTTGGAGTCTTACTCTGTCACCCAGGCTGGGGTGCAGTGGCACACTCACAGCCATCCCAGCATTGATCTGCTGGGCTCCAGTGATCCTTCCGCCTCAGCCTTCCAAATAGCTGGAACTACAGGTGCACGCTACCATGCCCAGCTAATTTTTGATTTTTTATTGTAGAGACAAAGTCTCGCCAAGTTACCCAGGCTGGACTCGAGTCCACTGGCTCAGGCAATCCACTTGCCTTGGCCTCCCAAAGTGCTGGGATTACTGGCTGAGCCATCAAGCCCAGCTGGATGAATAGGTTACAAATATTTTCTCCCATTCTGTGGGTTGTCTTTTCATTTTGATGACTGTTTCCTCTGCTGTGCAGAAGCTTTTTAGTTTGATGTAATTCTGTTTGTTTTTGCTTCTGTTGCCTGTGCTTTTGAGGTCTTACACAAAAAAAATAGACCAATGTTCTAGAGCATTTCCCTAACACTTTCTTCTGCTAGTTTCATAGTTTCCTGTCTTAGATCTAAATCTTTTATTGATTTGATTTTTATATATAGTGAGAGATGGGCTTGAGTTTCATTCTTCTGCATGTGGTTATTCAGTTTTCCCAGCACCTTTTATTGAAAAGATTGTCCTTCCCCCCATTTATGTTGTTGTCACCTTTGCTGAAAATGAATTGACCATAAATGTGTGGATTTGTATTTGGGTTTTCTATTCTACTCCATTGGTATGTGTGTCTGTTTTTATACTGGTACTATGCTGATTTGTTAGCTATTGGTAGTATATTTTAAAGTCAGGGGGTATAATGCTTCCAGTTTTGTTCTTTTTGTGGTTCCATATAAATTTTAGGATTTTTTTTTCTATTTCTATGGAGAATGTAATTGGTATTTTAATGGGGCTTACATTGAATCTGTAATCTGCTTTGAGTAATATTGTCATTTTAACTAAATGAATTATTCCAATCCATGAGTATGGAATATTCTTTTTTTGAGTTTTCTTTAATTAGTGTTTTATAGTTTTCTTTGTATAGATCTTTCACATCTTTGGTAAATTGATTTCTAGGTATCTTATATTCTCTGTAGCTATTGTAAATGAGAGTGCTTTCTTGATTTGTTTTTCAGATTGTTTGTTGTTGAAACACAGAAATGCTCTTGATTTTGTATCCTGAAACTACTGGTTTTGTTCATCAGTTCTGACAGTTTTTTGGTGGATTCTTTAGGTTTATCTAAATAGACGTTCATGTGCTTACAAAGATAATTTACTTCTTCCTTTCCAATTTGGATGCTCCCAATTTCTTTCTCTTGTGTAATTGCTTCAGCCAGGACCTCCAGTATTATGTTGAATTAAAGTGGTGAAAATGGGCTTTCCCCACTTAGAGGAATGACTTTCAATTTTTCACTGTTCAGTGTGATGTTGGCTATGGGTTTGTCATATATGACCTTTATTATTTTGTAGTATGTTCCAATAGTTTGTAGAAGATTTTTATCAAAAGGAATTTAGAATTTTATTGAATACTTTTTCAGCATCTGTTGAAGCAATCATATGGTTTCTGTTCTTGATTCTATTACTGTGATGTATCACATTTTTTATTTGTGTGTGTTGAACCATCCTGGCATCCCTGGAATGAATACCACTTTATAGTGTTAGATCATCTTTTTGATGTGTTGTTGAATTTGGTTTGCTAGTATCTTATTGAGGATTTTTACATTAATGTTCATCAGCGATATTGACCTGTACTTTTCTTTTTTGTTGTATCTTTGGTTTTGGTATCAGGGTCATGCTGGCCTTGTAGAATTAATTTGGAAGTATTCCCTTCTCTTCAGCTTTTTTGAAGCGTTTGAGTAGAATTGGTATTAGTTTTTCCTTAAATCTTTGATAGAATTTAGCAGTGAAGCCATTAGGTCCTGGAGTTTTCTTGGATAGGAGACATTTTATTATGGCTTCAATCTCATTACTCATTATTGGCTTGTTGAGGTTTTCTATTTCTTCATGGTTTTTAGTGTCCAGGAATGTATCCATTTCTTTTAGATTTTCCAATTTATTGGCGTATAATTGTTCATAATCAGCTCTCATGATTCTTTGTATTTCTGTGGTCTCAGTTGTTATATCTCTTTTTATTTCTGATTTTCTTTTCTTTCTTTTTTTTTTGCGTTGGAATCTCACTCTGTCTGGAGTGCAGTGGCATGCTCACAGCCACTGTAGCCTCGACTTTCTGGATTCAGGCGATCCTTCCGCCTCAGCCTTCTACGTAGCTGGAACTACAGGCATGCTCTACCACACCCGACTAATTTTTTGATTTATTGTAGAGATGAGGTCTCTCCAAGTTGACCAGGCTAGTCTCGAACCCATGAGCTCAGGCAATCCTCACTTCAGCCTCCCAAAGTGCTGGGATTACAGGCGTGAGCTACTACGCCCGGCTCTGATTTTATTTGCGTCTTCTTTCTTTTTTTCTAAGTCTATCTGAGGTTTGTTGATTTTTTTTATCTTTTCAAACAACCAACTTTTTGTTTCATTGATTTTTTTTTTGGTCTCCATTTTATTTAATTCTCTGGTTTTTTTTTTTTACATTTTAAAAAATTTTAATCCGTGTCAATGAGATCAGCATATTTCTCCTCTAACCTTTAATATTTGTTTCCATCTACTAATTTTGGATTTTGTTTGTTCTTGTTCTTGCTTTTCCTTTGAGATGCATTGTTAGGTTGTTTATTAAAAGTCTTTCAGCTTCTGGGCAGGCATGGTGGCTCACACCTGTAATTCCAGCACTTTGGGAGGCTGAGGCAAGAGTATTGCCTGAGCCCATGGGTTCGAGAGCAGCCTGGAAAACTTGGGGAGACATTGTCTCTACAATAAACCAAAAAATTAGCTGGGCGTGATAGCGCACACCTGTATTTCTAGCTACTAGTAAGACTTAGATGGAAAGATCATCTGAGCCCAGAAAGTCAAGGCTGCAGTCGCCATGAGCTTGCTACTGCATTCCAGCCTGGGTAACAGAGTAAGACTGGCTCAAAAGGGAGAGGGGGAGGGAAGGAGTAACAGGGCATGTAGTATCACAAAGGGTACCTGGTTCTAAACCAGGGGAAGTGAGGGCCAGTTGGAGGTCCAAACTTCATCTTCACGCAGCCTGCTTGTGTAGCTAATCCTGACTTATACCTCACATATCTGTAGTTAAAAAAAAAGTCTTTCAGCTTCTTTGATGCAGGTGTTTATTTCTGTAAACTTCCCTATTACTACTGCTTTTGCATAGATTTTTTAATTTTTATTTTCATTTGTTTCAAGAAAATGTTTCATTGTCTTCTTAAATTTTTTAATCTTTTTTTTTTAAGAGATGAGGTCGGTTGCCTAGGCTGGTCTCAAACTCTTGGGCTTAAGCAGTCCTCCTGCCTCGGCCTCCCAAAGTGCTAGGATTGCAGGTGTGAGCCACCATGCCTGACCAGCATTTCTTTTAAGCTGAGTTTGTTGGTGATTAACTCTACTACCTCTGGTTTGTCTGGGAAGGACTTTATTTCTCCTTCATATTTGAAGGACAGCTTTGCTGGATAACATTCTCTTGTATGGTAGGTTTTTTTTTTTCTTTCAGTACTTTGAAAATGTCATTCCACTTCTTCCTGGCCTGTATGGCTTCTTTTGAGAAGCCTGTTGCCAAGCGAATTGGAGTTCCTTTATATGTTATATGCTTCTTTTCTCTTTCTGCTTTTCAGATCTTATCATTGCCCCTGACCCTTGAGAGATATTTTTCTATATCTTCTAGGTAATTTTTGTTCCTTTTCATTCTTTTAAAAAATTATGTAATTTCAGATATCCTGTCTTCAAGCTCACTGACTCTTTCCTCCGCTTGATCCATTCTGCTGTTGAATCCTCCAATGACTTTTTCAGTTTAGCACATGTATTTTTCTTTTTTTTTTTTTTTTTTTGAGTTGGAGTCTCACTCTGTCACCCAGACTGGAGTGCAGTGGCCGCTCCCAGCCACCACAGCCTCGAACTGCTGGGCTCAGGCGATCCTTCTGCCTCAGCCTGCCAAGTAGTTGGAACTACAGGTATGTGCCACCACACCTGGCTAATTTTTTTATTTATTGTAGGGATGAAGTCTCACCAAGTTGGCCAGGTTGGTCTCGAACCCGTGGGCTCAGGCAGTCCTCTCACCTCAGCCTCCCAGAGTACTGGGATTATAGGCATGAGGCAAATGTATTTTTCAATTCCAAGATTTCTGTTTGATTTTTTAAAAATTATTTCAATCTCTTTGTTAAATTTATCTGATAAATTTCTAAATTGATTTTCTGTGTTATGTTGGAGATCACTAAGTTTCCCTAAAACTGTTATTTTGAATTCTTTGTCAGAGAGCTCATGTATCACTCTCTTATTAGAATCAGTCACTGGTTCCTTGCTTTGTCCATTTGGGGGAGGTCGATCATGTGGCCCATGTTTGCTGTTATTTCTCGTGGATGTACATCTGTGTCTTTGTTTTTATTTATTTATTTATTTGTTTGTTTGTTTGTTTGTTTTTGAGTTGGAGTCTCACTCTGTTGCCTCGTTGAGTGCAGTGGCACACTCATGGCCACCCCAGTGTTGACCTGCTGGGCTCTGGCAATCCTTCCACCGCAGCCTTCCAAGTAGTTAGAACTACAGGCACGCGCTACCATGCCCGACTAATTTTTTATTTATCATAGAGATGAAGTCTCGCCAAGTTGCCCAGTTTGGTCTCAAACCCACGAGCTCAGATAATCCACTCGCCTCAGCCTCCCAAAGTGCTGGGATTACAGGCTGAGCCACCAAACCCGGCCTATCTGTGTCTTTAAAAGATTATTTATTTATTCTCTGTCTGGCTTGTTTTGGTTTTTATTGGTTATGTTTGCTTAGAGAGTCTTCATAATTTACCCGTTGGATTTCTTGTATCTTTCCCCCTAGATCACTGTCTCCGCTTTGTCAGGAGATGGCGCCTAAGGACCAGATTTGCCTCTGCTCTAGCCAGTGATCAGACTACTGCCCATCTGGGGTGGGGGAGGGCCCAACTGGGATGTCCCAGCAGTGTGGAAGGGCTGGCTAAGGGCTTATACTCAAGGGACCTACAGAGCATACCTCCAGGAGTGTGGTGCTGCTGAGTGGCCACTCTGATTTGTTGTCTCCTTGGCTGAGTGATAGAGAAGAGTTTCCGGGGTTGGGCGTGGTTAGTTCTATCTCCCTCATTTGTCTCTGGCTATCCTCAGGGATATGTCCCCCTTAGGAACTCAACAGTGTTTCCTGTGGGTTGCGGCATGGACAGGTTTCCTGCCAAAGAAGCCAACATGGTAGGGAAGCTGTCTACCTCAGTCTCTTTTTCCAGTTTAGAAACTGTGAGTCATGGCCAGGCATGGTGGCTCACACCTGTAATACCAGCACTTTGGGAGGTCAAGGCAGAAGGATTGCTTGAGGCCACGAGTTGAAGACCATCCTGGGAAACACAGAAAGATCCCATCTCTACAAAATTTTTAAAAATCAGCCTTGCATGGTGGCATGTGCCTGTAGTCCCAGCCATTTGGGAGGCTGAGGCAACAGGATCGCTTGAGTCCAGCATGTCAAGACTGCAGTGAGCTGTGATCGTGCTACCATACTCCAGCCTGGACAAAAGAATAAGACTGACTCAAAGGAATGAAGGAATCGGGGGATATATTTCGTGTGGTTTGGTGTCAGGCACATTGGGGGAAGCCACATCATGGATATGAAAATCCTATTCTCTTTCCGTTTTCTCGTAGATTTGTTACTTCTCTGTGGCCCAGGAACTCACTCAGTCTCATATCTGAGTTCTGGGATCTTGCTGGTGATAATCTTGGCACTCTGTGTTTGCTATTGGTTTTCTGTGGGGGTGTGAAGCTAGCTTGTGTCTGTGCTGCTGTTCTGAAACCAGAAGTTTCCCAAATACACAGTTATTATTGCCTGTGAATTGAAATCCAAGACCATGTCTTCTTATATATTTAAATTTCATTTTATGAATCTTCAAAATGTGATTTTTATCTGTTTCTCGAATGTGGTTTTATCAGATCTTATTAAAGCAAACTCAGTTTTCTGTGATATCTTGGAGATCCCTGAGCTTTCTTAAAATTGCTGTTTTGAATTCTTGATCAGAGAGCTTCTATATTACTCTCATGTTTGGATCAGTCACTGGTTCCTTGCTTTGTCCATTTGGGGAGGCATGGTTTTATGTTTGCTATTGTTTTTTGTGAATGTGTGTCTATGTCTTTGAAGGATTGGATATTTATTCTAGGGTAGAAACATGCTGATAGGTGAAGTACAATTAGACATGGAAATATGTTTACTTAGAGGTTTTTTATGGCACAGTTTATACAATTGAGCTACATATTTGAACTGTTAAATATGATAAATTGTATACATTTAGTTGCAGACATTTCTTTTTTGGAATTGGAGACTCTCTCCATCGCCAGACTGGAGTGCAGAGGCATGCTCATGGCCAATGCAGCCTCTGCGTGCTGGGCTCAGGCGATGCTTCTGCCTCAGCCTTCCAAGTAGCCAGAACTACACGCTCGTTACCATGCCCAGCTAATTTTTTTATTTATTGTAGAGATGCGGTCTCCCCAAGTTCTCCAGGCTGGTCTTGAAGCCGTGGGAATCCACTCACCTCAGCCTTCCAGATTGCTGGGATTACAGGCTGAGCCACCGAGCCCAGCCACTAAAGACATTTCTATATGGATAGTTTTGAATCTTACATATTTTTGTCATTTCTATAGGAAAAAGCTATTGCTCAGATGAAGATAACATTCTCAGAGTGTGAATCATCTCTAAAGTAAGTAATTAATGAAATGGCATCCAGCTTTTTTAGAAATTTTCTGTGAATACAGCTTTATTAGTAGTAATCCAAGCAATAAGATAATTTCCCTTTTCAATTTCCCTATTTGTCAGTGACAACTCATTTTCTCAGTATCCTGCTTGAAACTTCTCTCCTTTTCTGTCATCCACATCTAAACACTTAGAACTTATTAACTGTCCTTCTACATACCTACTTGCTCTTTATTTTTACTATAATTACCCTATTTAAGCCACTTCATTAAAACTTAGATTACTTGAGTAGCCAATCTTGAATTTATTCTCCATTTAACCTATCTTGAGCACTATTATAAAATAGTATGTCTAGTGTTTTCAGATTGTAAGCCGCTTCAAAACAAATCATTTATTTTATATACTCTTAAGTTTTATATGTTAGTGTAAGCATAAACATTTAATAAATATTTGCCAATTAGATCTATTACATTTTGCTCTTAACGCTTGAAAGTTTTCTGTGTTTACTTGACATTTGGAATAATATGTTTATTTTACGACTTTATTTGCATATCATTATTGGTAGAGATCTAAAATAACTGCTTTCCCTAATTAACCAGTATCTTAATGCAACATTGTAATTTCTGATAATCATAGTGTATTGTGTGTTCTAAGTATGTTTAGACTATGGTGGTTTTCCTTTAAATGAACAGCAGTTTTTCAAAAAGAACTGTCTGTCATTTCCACATCGCTCTTTTAATAGCCAGTTGAAGGAAACCTTGACTAATCGGGACCGGGAGATAAGCAGCCTCCGGCGCCAGCTTGATGCAGTTCACAAAGAGCTTGAAGAGGTAGGAAGATCTAGAGAAATCTCTCTTAAGGAGAACAGAAGATTACAAGATGATCTGGCTACAATGGCAAGAGAAAACCAGGTGTGAACACAATTCAGAAACTGATAGTTTTATAGTACTTATTATTGTTTGCTAAATATTAAAGCTGCACAAATTTTTCTAAAAAGTAATGGCATAAATATACGCAACATAACTAAATTTGAAGACAATAGTGTGTATCAGGTATCAAAGATGTAGTTTAGGATGCCACTTTATATCACTGGGTGCAATTTTGATCTTCTCACCGTTTTGGTCTTTGTTGCAAGGAAACCTGAAGCTGGGAGCATGAAATTCTCTCTAGCAGAAATCATTGTCACCCTACTGGGTGAGGACCTCAGCATCACTCACAGGACAGAGTTTCTGTGTTTTAAAGATGAATGATAGATTTTAATTATTTGTGCTTACTTCCAATAAATGAATGAATATTTTAGAATGACAAATGCTGAAAGGTATTAGTTTTGTGTGTGTTAGTTTATTAAAGGCTTATACTAAGAAGAACAATGATTTTCCTGTTTTATAAATATCTTATGTTTTTAAAAATTATTTTTATTATTGTTCAGTACAAAGCACACATTGCTGGAATATGAATTTTTTAAAACTGTCAATTCTGACTATAGCTAGTAGCTCTTAGTATAAATGCCAGATACATGGTCATGACTATTGTGGGAGATGTGTGGTAAAGTGCAGTTAAAAAATCAAGATCGGCCAGAAAAAATACGTGAAAGTCACACTTAGGAGCAGCTTTCCTTTTTTCCTACTCTCTTGTGTTCCCAACTTCCAAAGGGGAATAGAGATAAAACTCATTTGTGCTGTGTTCACTTTAGATTGTCTTCAATTTTCTGTTTCATAGGAAATCTCGTTGGAACTGGACTCAGCAGTGCAAGAAAAAGAAGAAATGAAGAGTAGAGTTCATAATTACATAACTGAGGTGTCACGATGGGAGAGCTTAATGGCCACGAAGGTGAAAATGTTGTTTAGGTTGGATTTAAGATGGCTTATTTTTCAGCTTTTTGATGTTTGTTTAATCTGTCTCCACAGTTAGATATTAAACATTTTAAAGCAGGGATCCTTCCTACTGTCTTTTTGTATTACCCCATAGATCTTAGTATATAGTGTCTGCACAGATACCTAGTGCTTCCTAAATTTGAACAAAATTTCCAATGTGTATATTTGTTTATGTTATGAATGTTCCAGTGAGTGACAGTGACTAATTTAAAAAAAAATTAATTATGTTTAAACCAGGAAAAAGAAAATCAGGATTTGTTAGATAGATTTCAGATGCTTCACCACCGTGCTGAAGACTGGGAGGTCAAAGCCCATCAAGCTGAGGGGGAAAGCAGCTCAGTGCGGCTGGAGCTTCTGTCTATTGACACCGAGAGGAGACACCTTCGAGAAAGGGTGGAGCTATTGGAAAAGGAAATTCAAGAGGTAATACATTCACTGGTCTTGTAAAGACATCACGGAGTAAAGCAAAACATGCTTTATTGATGTGAGGTTGTAAGCATTGAGAAGATTGGGTTCAGTGGTAATTTTTCGTCAATCTGATAATTTACTTGGGAGCCCCATTACTCTTTTTACTGTAGTGAAAGATACAGATAATCACCTCTCCTGTTTTAACCATTTTTAAGCGTGTGGCTCTATAGCATTAGGTACAGTCACAGTGTTGTACATCTGTCACCACCATCTGTCTTTTTGTCTTCCCCAACTGAAACTCTGCACCCATGGAAAACTAACTCTTTGTTCTGTCCTCGTTCCATCCCCTGGGAAGCACCCTACTTTCTGTTTCTATTTGTTTGACTAGTCTAGCTACTTCATATAAATGGAATCATACAATATTTGTCCTTTTGTACCTGGTTTATTTCACTTAACCTTAAGGCTCACTGTACCACAGAGTTGATCCATGTTGTAGAATGTGTCAGATTTTTTTTTTTTAAGGCTGAATAACATTTCATTGTATGTATATACCACATTTTGTTTATCCAGTAATCTGTCAATGAATATCTGGTTTGTTTCTACCTTTTGGCCATTGAGAATAATTCTGCTGTGAGCATAAGTAAACAAATATTTGGTCAGGTTTGCTTTCAGTTCTTCTGAGTGTATACTCAGAAGTGGAATTATGGATCACTTGATAATTTTATGTTTAATTTTTTGAGAAGCAGTCATATGGTTTTCCACAAGGTCTGTATCATTTTACATTTCCACTCACAGTACACAAGTGTTCTAGTTTCTCCACATTCCTGCCAATACTTGTAATTTTATGGGTTTTTTTTTTTATAACAGCTATTTTAATGGGAGTGAAGTGATTCTTTGCACAGTGGGTGAGGAATTTCAGTTGGGGAAGATGAAATTAGCATTTCCATAATGACTAGTGATGTTGCGCATCTTTTCATTTGCTTATGATTATTTGTATACTCTTCTTTGGAGAAATGTTTATCAAGTCCTTTGCTCATTTTTTTAATCCAGTTGTTTTTCATTGTTGAGTTATCGAAATTCTTTATGTATTCTGGAGATTAATACTTTATTAGGTATATAACGCTAAGTATTTTCTCCCATTCTGTGAGTTTCCTTTTTACTCTGATAATAGTTTTCAGTGTACAAAAGTTTTTAATTTTTAATTTTAAAAAGTCCAATTTATTTTTTTCTTTTGTTGCCTATACTTTTGGTGTTATATCCAAGAAATCATTGCTAAATCCAATGACATGAAGCTCTTTCCCTGTGTTTTCTTCTAAGAATTTTATATTTTTAGCTCTTATATACCGGTCTTTGATCCATTTTGAGTTAAATTTTGCAAATATAAGGTAAGGGTTCACCGTCACATGAATTTAAGTAAGTTTTTGTCATAAAGACAGTCTAATAAAAATCTCATAATAAAAAATTTGAGTTCAGTTAAAATATAGGCACCCTGGGCTAGATTGATATAGTATAGGTGGCCATTTGTTTTGTTTTGGGACTTTCAAAAAATACAGTTTTGTAATCTTCATCTTTCAAGAGAAAGTATTGACTATCTGTAGTAGGTAGAATTATGACTTCCAAAAAGATATATTTAAGTACTAACACCAGTCTCTTCCTTGGAAATAGTGTCTTTGCAGATAGAATCAAATTACAATGAGGTCACAGTGGATTAGGGTAGACCCTATACCAATGACTGATCTCTTTATAAGATGACCTCATATATTTGGATATAGAAGACACAGGGAAAACACCATGTGAAGATGGAGGCTGAGACTAGAGTGATTTGTCTACAAATCAAGGAATGCCATGGATTGTCAACAACTCTCAGGAACTAGGGGAGGGGCGTAGAACAGATTCTGCTTCAAAATCTCCAGAAGGAACTAAACCTTCCAACACCTGAATTTTGGACATCTAGACTCTAGAACTGTGAGGGAATAAATTTCTGTTGTTTTAGGCCACCCAATTTTTACAGCAGACCTAGAAAAGTGACACCGATTTTGGTACCTAAAAATGAGTTGCTGGTATAATAAACACCTAAAAATATGAAAGTGGCTTTGGAACTGGATAATGGGGAGAAACTGAAAAAGTTTTGAGGTGCTTGATAGAAAAAGCTTAGATTGCCTTGAAGAGATGGTTGGTAGATATATGGACATTAAAGGTATTTGTGGTGAGGGCTCAGAAGAGAGGAGAGCCATAAACACTTCTGTCATTTAGAGAATACATGTTTTTGTCATGAATGGAATTTTGCCAGCAATGCAAATGTTTCTTCTGGTGATATCACAGATGGAATTGAGAAACGTTATTGGACACTGGAGAAAAGATGATACATGTTATAAAATGGCAAGAACTTGGCTAAGTTATGGTCTGTTGTTAGGAGGAATGTAGAACTTGTGGTGGGATGAACTTGAACATTTAGCTGAGGACATTTCCAAGCAAAGTATGGAAGGAACAGCCTGGTATCTCCTTGTTGCTTATAGTGAAATGTGAGAGGAAAGAGAGAAACTGAAGGAGGAACTGCCAAGTGAAAAATGAACCAGGACTTGATTTTGGAAAATTCTTAGCCTACCCAGATAGTGTGCTCTGGAGACAGGGCCAAGAGTGTGGCTAGACACCTCTTGTTGAAGATACTAGGTATGTGACTCTTGAGTCCAGTCAGTCATCTCAGCAGAATCACTGCCAGCTTTGGCTGAAAAGAACAGAAATGGGACAAGATGAAGAAAGCCTGTTGAACTTCTGGGATACTACTAGCAGAAAACTGGGCCAGTTAGGCCTGTGGTTGCAAGCATATTCACCTTCAGGAAACAGGAAGAATGACTCTAAGGGAAGCTCAGAGATCAGCTGAGCTGCTAAGGACAGCAAAGAGGCTGGTGGGACTGCTGCTGCCACCACAAGCTCATAGGGTACAGGCGTAGGAGTTGGGGCCACTGTCCCCCTGGTTTCAGAGGGCAAGGCCACTGCCCTCAGGGAGAAGAGGGTGGAGCTGTAGCTGAAGTTGAGAGGGTGGAGCCTCCCTGCCAGCCAGAGGACAGAGTGTAGGAGCATCAAACCATAGGGGATTATTCTTAGACTTTGACATCTAGTGGAATTTGGCCTGCCTGGTTGCAGACTTACTTTGGATGGTAACCCCTTCATTCCTTCTGTTTGCTCCCTTTTGGACTGGGACTATCTCTAGTATGCCTGTCCTGCCATCGTATTTTGGAAGCAGTTAACTTGCTTTCTAGTGTTACAGATCTGTAGATGGAGAAGAATTTTGCCCCAAGGTGGACTATGCTCGGTCTCTCCCATATCTGGTTTGGATGATGCTTAGATGAGATTTTGGATCTATAGTTGGTGCTGGAATGTTAGAATGAAGTTAAGGGTATTTCTTACATGAGAAGGACATGAATTTTGTGGGACCAGAGCTGGTAGGTAGGATTGTGTCCACCAAAAAGATATGTTGGAATACTAAGCAGCCCCAGGACCTGTGAATGTGACCTTATTTGGAAATAGGGTTTTTGCAGATATGTTCAAGTTAAGGTGAGGTCATAACTGGAATAAAGTAGGCCCTAACCCATGAAAGAGGAATGTCCTTATAAGCTGAGAGACATCTGGACACAGCAGACTCGAATAAGAACACTGTGTGAAGATGGAGGCGGAGATTGAGGTGACAACATCTACAAGGCAGGGAACACTGAGGGTCGCCAGCAACCACCAGAAGCTAGGAGAGAGGGACGAATTCTCCCTCAGAGCCTCCAGAAGGCGCCTACCCTGTAACACCTTCATTGGGAACTCTAGCCTCTGGCACTGAGGGAATAAATGTGTTTTAAGCCCCCTAGTTTGCAGTAATTTGTTAGAAAACTAACACAACATCTCTGCAAGGTTTTGGTTGAGTATAATTAATTAAAGGCATGCTTTTCAACCTTCCAACGAGCTTCTCAGAAACTGTTTTTTAACTCTTTTGTTCTTTGTCATAATTCACATTCTTATATAGTATATGAAATTAGCTTTTATGTATTTTTATTTAGTTTATTTGAGGGAGCTGGCCGGGAGCGGCCATTGCACTCCAGTCTGGGTGACAGAGTGAGACTCCAACTAAAAAAAACAAAAACAAAAAAAAAAGCCCCATATGCTTTTCTGCATCTGTTGAAATTTATCAAATCTTCACAGCATTATATTAGATTTTTTTTTTTTTGAGTCTGAGTCTGTTGCCCAGGCTGGAGAGGCACGATCTTGGTTCACTGCAGCCTTGTCCTCCTGAGCTCAGATGATCCTGCCACCTCAGCCTCCCGAGTACCTGGGACTACAGACATTTTCCACCATACCCGGCTTTTTTTGTTTGTTTTTGCATGGGTGAGGTCTCACTGTGTTGCCCAGGCTGGTCTCAAACCCCCTGGCTCAATCAGTCCTTCCACCTCGACCTCCTAGCCAATATTAGATTTTTTTATGTTGATTCGCTTTAATTGTTGAAATAATTTCATTTGTTAAGTGTGGAATTCTTCCCAAAATAGAGAAGTAGAGTTTATATCAGTTTATATTTATCACTTATAACTCAAATTTTAAGAAACTTAAAATGTGCATTATCCTAGGAAAAAAATTTAACAGTATTTCAAATTTTAGTATTTCAATGTTACCAATCTTAAAAAGTTATATACTATTCAGTTAAATTTAAATATGACTTCAGGTATTTTGTTTTAAAGAAAACCCCATTTTTGAAATTTGGAATTTAACCAAAGAAAAGTATATGTGTTACTTTTTCTTGAAATGCAAAAAGTATATATGTTGCTTTTTTTTGAAATGGCATTGTTATAACAAGATAATTTATAACAGAAAAATTTAATGTAATTTCAAAAATCCCTCATATTCACAATACAGTACATATTCATAATACAACAATAATTCTCATCTTTGCATCTTCCTAATATATACATGAGATATTTAGTAATCATGGCTAATAATAATACACAGTTCCTTTTGTTAAGCATTAAATAGACCATCTTTAAAGAGTACTCAATTTCCTGAGAATATTTAAAAATATGCAGAAGTTGGCTCTCATGGTTTTCTAAAGTGAAGTTAAACAGATTCAAGTCCTTAATTATTGGGTTACTTTGACCTTTGACCTGTTTCTTTTTACTTTCTTTCAGCATATAAATGCACATCATGCTTACGAATCTCAGATCTCATCAATGGCAAAAGCCATGTCTAGATTAGAAGAAGAGCTGAGACGTCAAGAAGATGACAAAGCTGCAGTGTTAAATGATTTGTCATCTCTGAGAGAACTGTGCATTAAGCTTGATTCAGGCAAAGATATTATGACCCAGCAGTTAAAGTCCAAAAACCTTGAGTTTGAGAGGGTAAGATCTAGAGAGAAATTGTCTTGACACATTGTTGTATTGGGCCCTCCTATAACTGTTTTACTTTACCAGTCACTAGCCAATACATATATTTGTTCTCTTCGAAAGTAGTTACTTTTACCTATAAGATTTTGACAACCAGATTTGACTACTTGATTCTTTGCCAGGGTTTCTTTAGCAGAAGTGGTGATGGAAGTAGGTGCTCTCTGTTTTGGAATAGATGGGAATTTAGGAGATTATGAGTTTTCTAATTACAGATTAGGAGCATATTCTAATACACGTCTTCCTCTGTTTAAAAGTAAGATTTGACTGAAGAATTGGACAGTTCAGTGCTTCCTAAGTTGACTGTTTTTCCAGTAAATATCTCAAGGTGTTTGCATCTTACATAGTTAAACAAGTGTACTCAACTATCATTTACCATTCTCAAATGGAGGCATGACTTTAAACAGGTACTGAGAAGCTACAATGTTGATTTGACTATGTAGTAAGAGTTAGCATATCTGGTGGACCAGAATGGCGTCATTGCCAATACAGTAGGCACGTATTAAGATTTTGTGTAAATGACCCTCTCTTGACAAGGTAGCACGACTGAAAACTATTTGAGGGTTAGAGTAGATCGTCTAGCCCGAATAAGCCCTTAGTAAAAACATCAAAGATTCTTTTGAAAATGAAGTGTTTTTCTCAAAAAGAAATGATTCAGAATCTTTAACCAATACCCAAGATGAAAAAACTGATGGGTGAATAGCTGTACAGTGCTATATTGTCAGGTAAATGATTTTTCAGAGACAGTCTGAAATTATGCTGAAGTAATCTTACTTTGGTTTTCCTGTAGGTTGTGGTAGAATTAGAAAACGTAAAATCAGAATCAGACCTGTTAAAAAAACAACTGTCAAATGAGAAACATACGGTTAAAAGCCTCGAGTCATTGCTGGCTACAAATAGAGATAAAGAGTTTCATTCTCATTTAACTTCCCACGAGAAGGATACAGAAATTCAGCTACTTAAGGAGAAGCTAACCCTTTCAGAAAGCAAACTGTAAGTGTCATAAGTCAACCTGTGTGAGGAAAATAGCTTATCAGAAATAATTTTTCAATTCTTTTTGAGATGGAACAGATGTGAGAGTGTGAAGGGTGGTACAAAACCAAAATATTTGACCTATTTCGGAAATTCAAGGATTGGCTCAGCAGAGACATTGTGTTCGGAGATGCAGACTTGTTTATCTTCACCACAGAGGTGGTCCCATGCGAGTAAACGAGAAGGAACTTAAAGTCCCTGCATATGAGGAGGGAACAGAGGAGTCAGTGTAGGAGAGAACATTTCAGGATGGGAGGGGGCACTGTGTCTCATGCTGTAGACTGGGAAAAAGACTCAGAGACATCTTGTGTATTACCTACCAGCAACTTGACTTCACTTTTTTACAAAATAGTGAAAAATGAATCACTTCATAGTAAACAGTATAGCATTGGAGCTAATTTTATTGTAATGATATTTGGCTCATAATGGAATTTTGAACATTGAGGAGCATATTTGTGACCAAAAAAAATCAAACTTTTATGTCTTAAATTTTTCCAATGTGTGACGCAGTCACCAACATACATTGCAGGTTCACTGAAATATGTGTACAGTAGTCATTTGTTTGACGTCTTCCACCTGGTGTTTTCTATTTGAGCAGGCATTGCAGTCTCATTTTCTTCTTCCCACATTAACAGTATGTCATTTATTGTCCAGTCTATGCACCTCTCTGAAAGCACTTCACACGTTCTCTTTCTGTGTAATGCCAGCTGATCTCTTTTTTGCATATATCACAGTGTATATTTCATCTCTTCATTTGCTTCTCATGCGATTTGAATAGAAAACTTGAAGGAAACATATACTTTTGAAAAATTTGCGCTGGCATAAGTTTCCCCTGAGAGGACATCCAAGAGGTTTGCTAGATTTATAGTGTCCCCTCAGAGGGTGCACCCGTGTGCAAAGGGTTAAGAGCTGTGAGATTTGACCCTCATAAGTGTATGACTTACCTTGGGGAAGATTGGTGATGTTCTCACCAAAGTTGAGGCATGTATGTTGGAAGAGGGAAGGAAACCCAGAGTGGAGAGTACAAATGAAAGAATGCACTTTTAAAAGGAGTTAACAATATTTCTCTTTCTGAGGCAAGTCAAGAAAGCCAAGGAAAATACTTTATATCTTGATGTTATGGTTCATGCCTTGTTCAAATTTGTATTTCAGCATCACTTCAGTGCCTAGCATATAATAGAAGTTCAGTAAATGTTTTGTAAGTAAACCAGATAAATGAAAAATAAAATGTGTTAGAAACTCCAGAAGTTTAGAGAATTATTGTTGAAAGGTCTCAATCTCTTTATTTCTTTCCTTAACCATCATCACTATTTATATTTATTTTAAACAATCCATAGCACTTGACTCTACAAAACAGAACCTTTATTTGTTTTTAATTTTTAAATTTGTTTATAAGAACTAGTCAAAGCCGGGAAAACACCATGCTTCGAGCTAAAGTGGGACAGTTACAGACAGATTATGATGCTCTGAAGAGGCAGATTTCAACAGAAAGATATGAACGGTGAGAAGAAATTTTTTTGCATTTACACAGTGTTTTTATGTATTCCCTGTACCATTTTTGAAAGTATTTAATATGACTTACAAATAGCAAAATTTTTTGAGCTAACAAGCAAAGCAAATTTCTCTGACAATTCTTCCTTTTAAAAAAGGCAGCAAATATTGCGGAAGATAACATGCCTACAGTAGCTAAAATAGCAAGTATTACATGGTGGATGCTTTATAAGTATTTATTGAACAAACTTGTTTAATAATCTGAAAAACAAAATAACATAGCAAGTGTTGTGTAAATGCCTTCTATAGCATTCCACAGGGCAAATTCAGGGCATTATTTCAAAAGGTGTAAAGCGAGAATCAACAACAATCCCTACAAGAGCTCCCAAGTATATGGTCCAAGTAGGAAGCTCCAAATACAAATCATAAATGTGATGATGATGCTGATCATAAGAGCAACAAACAAATACGTGCCAGACACTATATATGTACCTGATTAATCCTCCCAACTATCTATTTTTATGCCTAAGCTACAGAAAACTGAGGTCACACAAATAGTAAATTGCAGAGCCAAGGCTAAAATCTAGGTAGGTCCATCTAGTTCTAAAGCCTATACTCTTTTTTTTTTTTTTGAGTTGGAGTCGCACTCTGTTGCCCAGGCTGGAGGGCGGTGGCACACTCATAGCCACCCCAGCATCAATCTGCTGGGCTCCAGCAGTCCTTCCACCTCAGCCTTCCAAGTAACTGGAACCACAGGCACGTGCTACTGTGCCCAGCTAATTTTTTTAATTTATTGTAGAGACGAGGTCTCTCCAAGTTGCCTGGACTGGTCTCGAACCCACGGACTCAGGCAATCCACTCAGCTTGCTCTCCCAAAGTGCTGGTATTACAGGCTGAGTCACTGAGCCCGGCCTGTCCTATACTCTTAATCTCTATAATATATTCACTACGACTTAGTAATTCTTATATTCATATTTTTGGTTCATTTGCTTTATATTGAAAAAGTTAATGCCCAAGTGTTACAGCAGGAATGAGATCTGCTTTAAGAATAAAATTGAAGTCTAATTTGCAAATTAATTGTTAGTTATTTTTCTTCCATTACTGTTTCCTACTGTCTTAACACCATCATCATCAGCATTCCTGAGATTTCATTCTCAAATAGTGGCTAGAGTGCTTATTAGGTCAGTTTTGGAGTTATTGTGTTCTTGCCCATTTACATCAGCACATTTGAATGATGTGCTACTACTTAAAGTATAGAGGTAGTTTGCTATGAAATCGATATTTATGATTTCAGAAGGAAATTAAGCCATAGGTTGCAGCAGTAACATGAAAGTAGAGTTGTTAGCGTCTTATAATTTAGTTTCTGCTTGTGCCAAACTATACGTATACAATGATTTCTATTTCTTAATGATGAATTCAACATGAAAGCAGAGTTGTCAGTGTCTTATAATTTAGGAGATTTAGTTTCTGCATGTGCTAAACTGTACATATATAACGATTTCCATTTCTTAATGATAAATTTTCTGTAAACCAAGGGTCCTAAATTAAGCTCTTTATAGCTCAGGGTTATGGGAGCCCCCTCAATTTCTCCCCTTTTTCCTTGCCTCTGACCCTCAAAGAAACCTTGAGTCACATGATCTTGCCTTTCCTGCTCCTTAACATCTGGCCGCTTTATGCGTTCTCATATGGACAGTGTCACTCCCCTTCCTCCAAGAGAAGAAATTGGCTCTTAGAGGTGGGAGAAGGAGGTGGCAAAAAATCTTAGGTAGTACAAGGTATTACAGTGGCTTATGGTCTCCCAAAGGGCCATAGGACATAAATAGTGTATTAAAATTTCATCAGGTGGAAGGGTCATCTGGAGGGGGAGTGGGAGTCTAAAAAAGTTTCTTTGGGAGAATTAATAATGAAAAATGTTTAAGAAACATTGCACTTGGTAGAAATTCTGGATACTGAAGAACTGCAGAAGTCTAGGCCAGAAACAAAATAGCTCACAAAGGAGATGGCAGCATAATCCCCATTCCCGGTTGGGTAGACCCAGGCACAGGGAAGGAAAGTATGGTAGAGAAAGTATATTCTTTCACTTTTGACATTTGGGAGTTTTGAGGCAGGAAGAAGGAAGAGGGCTGATTTAAGTGCAAAAAGCTAAAGGAAAGGAAGGGGTAGAGAAGGGAACCAGTCAGCTTGGAAATTGTGTATTCAGAGGGGCAAGGATGGTCCTAGGGCTTACGTGAGAAGTTAGTGAAGTACACACAATGCATGATTACCATTTGCATAGAAGTTTCCCTGACTGTCTTTGAATTAGTGGGAACAAAGTGAATGTTGTATACCTAGAAGCAGGAGGAATGTTGCCATGTAAGGTGGTCTGATAGGCTAGAACACCAAAGAACTGAAGACATCTTAGTATTCCAGTCTTTCTATATTCTACTTAGTATAAAAATAAAAAGAGCCTGTACTATAGGGTGTGCCTCTGCACGATAGTCCCAATACTATTATTTCCCCTGTAGGCCAGGCACTATGCTACGTCCTAAGAATAAGGTACTCAAATGACTCTCGAAGGACATGGTATAATAAGGACGACAGACATTCACAGACATGTAAAGACAGCATGTAACTGCGGGGGTAGGGCCAGGGTCGGGTTTTATTGGCATGTTGGAAGCTGGAGTCTGTTCTTGCCGGAGTCCAGCTCCTGCACAGTCCAGAGGTTCCCAAAGGTGGAGATGGCGTCGGCGATTGTGAGAGTGAGAAAGAGAGAGAGAGAGAGAAACTTGAACAACTGTTCAGATTCGAGCAGAAGATGACCTTTATTGAGTGTTAACAGTGGGCTTTTATACTCATATGTCTTTCACGTGAACACAAAGCCAGGTGTGTGAGGGGCGTCCCCCACCATCAGATGTCCTTTCAGGTATGAGGAAGAAAATCCCATAACAAACGCTAACCTTAATCCGTGACTGACCTATCCTATAAACCTATCCTATGCTAGTTTATACTAATACCAATACCAAGTTAAACGATTCTATAGAGACTTAAATACTTACTTTACAACGTAAAGTGGCCCAGGTTTGGAATGTGGCCCAGTTCAAAGTTCACAATGGGCTACCTGCAAGTAACCTAGCTGCATTCTTTCAACAAAATGGCTGTCTAAACTTTCTAAAACTGTATTCTACAATTTACACCTAACTCAACTTCAGTAAATTCTAAAATCACGACCCAGAAGCCTGTGACCAGTACTAAGGCTCTTAGATGTGACCCGAGTTTGAACTGTAAGTTGTGTGAAAGCCAAAACCACAGTTTGTGGAAGAATGGGAACAATGAGCTTCTAAAGTTAGCTTGTGTTTGTCCTGGTCTCAGAGTTTTTATGTTTGAGCTTACAGGAGCTTTTTCTGGTTATAGTGCTAAGTAGAAAGGGGGAGGGAATGGGGTCAACAGCTCCCAAACGCATCCTAGTGGTCTCGGGGTCAACGGCCCTCCCTGATCCCTAACGCTCAGGGGGCCTCCATGACTGGCTCCCAACATACTCTAACCTGGAATCAGTAAGAAAATATCCATTTGGGTATGCCAGGTACCTGTGAGATGTCCAGGAGAAACTTCTAGGTGGGTCTGGAGCACAGGACAGAGCTGATGATGTAGATTTGAAAGAGTTATGAGCATATAGAAGACTAGGAGAAGAGAAAGGAAACCTAGCCCTGGGGATCACCAAGGTGTAAAGCCCTGGAGAAGAGGATCCGGAACAGAACCAAGGAATGGTCATCTAGGTCAGGAGGGAACCAGGAGAGCAGTGCCATGAAAGCCAAGCATGGCCAACAGCCCCAGACCCCACAGAAGGGTCAAGTGTGGTCAGGAATTTGCTGTCGGCATATAGACATTTAATTTTCAAGAACAGGTTAAACAGGTTTGTTATAGTTTGTTAAAGTATAAAGAAGAAAGTGTATCTGTTAGTTCTACTTTCCATAGTCATATGTTTGTGTGTGTCCACTTGGTATTCCACTTTTTTTTTTTTTTTACTAAATATATTATGAGCATTTTGTGTCTAAAATACTATTTTAATAACAACCAACTATATTCCAACGTGGCTGTACCATAATCGCTTTGAACAATCTCTTATAGTACATATTCTTTTAATTGACTTTTTTTTATCTACTACTTAAAAACTAGGCAAAAGCATAGAATGTAAATTTAGTATAAATAATAATTAATGCATTACAAGTTACTTTTTTAACTAATCACACTAACTGCACCTTGTGTTTGTTTGCCACTTTTAGTTTTTCATGGCACTTGTATCTCTCTCTCTTGTTTGATCTTTATTGACAGGGAACGAGCAATCCAAGAGATGCGTCGCCATGGTCTTCCTACGCCACCCCTGAGTTCTACTCTGAGATCGCCTTCAAATTCTCCTGAACATATAAATATATGAGTTTCAGAAAGGTATGTATATAGCGCCAAGGGCAGACAAAACTAAAGTAATTTTCGGGAAATCTCCAGAAAATCACCCTGGAAAGGTGTTAGGGGAACTTCCTGGAGTCATGGAAAAGTTCTGTATCTTGGTGGTGGTAGTTACATGGGTATGCACAATTATAAAAACTCATTAAACAGAACATATCCACTTAATGCTTTTTTTTGTAATAGATAGGGACTTGCTACATTGCCTGGGTTGGCTTCAAACCCCTGGGCTCAAGTGATTCTCCCACTTCTGACTCCTGAGTAGCCGGAACTACAAGTGCACACTGCCATACCACCTAATTCTGGTATTTTTTGTAGAGACAGGATCTTGCTATGTTGCCCAGACTGATTTTGAATTCCTCTAGCAATCTCCTGCCTTCCAAAGTACTGGGATTACAGGTGTGAGTCACTGCACCATCCTATGCATTTTATCATATACAAATTGTACCTGAATTTAAAAAGAGAAGACATCCACAGCAAAACCATAAATGACAATTTGCGATATCACAGGGTAATAGAAACAGGCAAAAGCGTAGAAACAGGCATGCCGTGGCATGGTAAGACTACATCTGCCAGGAGGGCGTGGCGATCCTGCAGGAGGAAGGCTGCGAGGTGGAGTGGGTGCACAGTGTGTTGAGTGAGGCAGACTTTACTGTGTGAGTCAAGGGGGGCCATTGAAGGTGAAGCTTCCCATGTATGGGATGGGCACAAGGGAGGGGCTAAGCTAAAGAGCTTTCTGGCGGAATAATTTCACAACTGTCTTTGAACCATATTGGAAAGGGTAGAATCTACAGGCAGAAAGACCAATGAGAGACTTGAAATGAACATTGTAATCAGTTCAGGATCAGTAGAAGAACACTGGAAGCTAGAACAGGTTTTTAAAAGCAAATTATGATATGCATACAGAAAAGTGCCATATCATAGGTGTATAGTTCAAGGAATTTTGAAACTGAACACACCTATGTGTGTTCTGCACAATGATCAGTGATCAAGAAACAAAACGAACCAGGCATGGTGACATGACCTAGTCCTATCTGCTCAGAAGGCTAAGGCAGGAAGATAGTTTGATCCCAGGAGTTTGGATCTAGCCTGGACAACATAGCAAGACCCCATCTCAAAACACACAAGCAAAACATTACCTCCCTTGGATTCTCTATTGTCATAAGCCTGGTCTAAAAGTAACTGTCCTGACCATTAAAAGCATAGATTCTAGCCGGGCTCGGTGGCTCAGCCTGTAATCCTGCGCCTTTGGGAGGCTGAGGGAGTGGATTGCCTGAATCCGCGGGTTCGAGACCCGCCTGGGCAGCGAGACCTCATCTCTACAATAAATCAAAAAATCAGCTGGGTGTGGTAGCGCATGCCTATAATTCCGGCTACTTGGAAGGCTGAGGCGGAAGGCTCGCCGGAGCCCAGCAGGTCAAGGCTGTGGTGGCCGGGAGCGGCCACTGCACTCCAGTCTGGGCGACAGAGTGAGACTCCAACTCAAAAAAAAAAGCAAACAAAAACAAAACAAAAAAACAACAAAAACAAACAAACAAACAAAAGCATAGATTCTTTTTGCCTGCTTTTGAACATTTTATAAATGGAATCATGCTTTTCTGACTTCTTTTTCTCACAAGAACGTTTGTGAGATTCATCCGTACTGTTGTGTGTACTTGGAGATTGCTCAGTCTCACTGCTGCATAGGAGAGTGCTGTTTTGTGAACGTGCCGCAATCCACTTGCTCATTCTACTATAGATGGACGTTGAATCATTTTCAGTTCAGGCTGTTACAAATAGTGCCACAGGTTTACATGCAGGAGTGACGTTGCTGGGTCACTGAATGTGCAGGTGTTCATGCTCTGTAGATGCAGCAGAACTGTCTTCCAGTGAGGTAGGACACACTCGACTGAGGAAGGGTCGAGGGACGTGCAGATTCCTCGGCGAGGGGAATGAATGGGCAAGAAGCACAAGTCAGACCCAGGGAGTGACAGCGAGTGACTGTGAAAGTGCAGGCTCATCAGCAGAAATAGTTGCATCTGTCTTTTGTAAATTGGTGCATTTTCTTGCCTCTTGATAGAGGTATCTAGAAAATAAACATGCCCTTGAGAACTCTGAATCTTCCCTGTGAACATTAGTTAGGTGCTGTTTCCTAACATACTGAGGTCCCTGGGTGCATGGGGCCCAGTTTTAAATGATTCCTGACGGCTGTGCTTTTGCTTTTTTTCTATTTGATTAAGTATTCCCCTTTCACTCTGAGGATCATTTAGCGCTCCTTGGAGTCAGTGTCCTCAGACTTCCAAGTTGCTGCATTACTTTTCACGTGATCAGGTGGTGCTTCCTCGTCTTATCACAGAGCCTTGTAGCCGCAGTGTGACACCGACACTGTCTCATGTTGACTTCACAGCTGCGGTGTAGACCAGGGGTGGCTAACAAGGACCTGTGAACCCAGTCACCCCACTGCCTATTTTTGTAAATTAAGTTTTGTGGGAGCTATTAACAAGTTATCTAAGACTGATTATCTGCAGTGGCAGAGTTGAGCTGTTGTGATAGACCCTGTGGCCCACAAATGTGAAATATTTACCTCCTGTCTCTTCACATCATGTAGCCTCTGGAAGAGTCAGCTCGCTGCACACCCATGAGAAAATAAGGGAGAACTGCAAAGAACTCCTTGGTTTTATGAAAACAGACTTGACCTTGTAGACTCCCTGAAAGGGTGTTGGGGATACCCAGACTACACCTTTTAGGAGCCACTGATGTGTAGAACGTTAGTGGATTCCATCAGCCCAATAAAGCCGTGATGAAATGGAAGCTTTAAAAAAAATTGCTGCAAAGTATATATAACATGAACTTTGCCATCTTATTTTTTAGTATACAACTCAGCGGCATTAATTGCATTCACAGTGTTGTGAGACCATCACCACTATCTGATTCTAAAGCCTTTTCACCTCCCAAACAGAAATTCTATGCCCATTAAGCAATAACTCTCTATTCTGGCCTCCCCTTCCCTGCCCTGGTGGCTTCTAAGCTACTTTTCTGTCTCTATGGATTTGCATATTCTAGATTTTCATATGCAGGAAACCATGCACATTCGTCCTTTTGTATATGGCTTATTTCACTTACAACAACGTTTTCAAGGTTTATCCACGTGGTAGGATATACCAATTGTTTTATTCCTTTCATTAGTTGAGGATGCCAGAGTTGTTTCCACCTTATGGCGACTGTAAGTAATGCTGCTGTTAACATTGGTGTACAAGCCTCTGAGTCCTTGTTTTTACATCCTGTGGTGTAGACCTAAAAATAGAATTGCTGGGTCATACAGCGATTCCTTTACCAGAGTGCTTGCCTTATGGCTGCACCATTTCACATCCCCACCAGCAACACACAAGGGTCCCAGTTTGCCACATCCTCACCACACTTGCTATTTTCCCCTTTGTGAAGTACAGCTGTCCTAGTACGTGTGGATTGGGAAATGTTTAAACCATTAACACATTCCCAATGTGTAATTTTGCAAGGCTTTGCAGTGTACTTTTGAAGATGAGATTACTATTTAGTGACCGGCTCCCAGTCATATTTTCCAAACATTGCCGTCAAAGCAAGCATGTAGGCAAATTGCTCAGCTGCAAAATGACCTCTCAGTTTAGTGTCTATTAGTTGTAATCCAGTTTTTGTTCTTACTTTTTTGTATCTAATACATGCTATTCACGATAGGAAAAACCAAGTGTTTTTCTTATTCTCATCACAGCACTTCTGACACCAGATTCTCCAGCAGGCACCACCAGAATGTCTGTAATTCACTTCAGTTCTAACCAGTCTACCTGGAGATGGTGCCAGGTCCCACAGGAACACAGTCCAGCAAGCCCCCTTGTTCCCCGACGCAGATGCCAGCCGTGAACCCCAGGCTGTGATCTGTGCTTCCAACCAGCAAGGTTTCCAGAAACCCCTCCTCGGGTTCCATTAGTTTGTAGAACAGCTCCCAGAACTCAGGGAGACACTTTACACGCACCTGTTTATTACAGAGGCTCTTAGGATGCAGGTGAACAGACAACATGGAGGAGGTGCCCAGGGCAGGGCATATGGGAAGGGCGCAGAACTGCCGTGCCCTCTTACCCTCCAGGCAGCTCCACGTGTTCAGCTGTCGGGAGCTTCCTGTGCCCAGTTCTTTTGGGTTTTTGTGGAGGCATCATTAAGTAGACACAGTTGGTTAGATCACTGGCCACTGATGATCAGTTCACCCTTCAGCCCCTCTCGTCTCCCTGGAGGCTGAGGGGTGGAGCCGGAGTCCCAGTTCTCTAATCCCGCCTTGGTCTTCCTGGTGACCAGCGCCCTCTTGAGCTACCTTGGGGCTGCCAGCCTGCAGTCGTCTCATTACCATATGAAAGACACTCTTATTAACTTGGAGACTCCAGGGAGTTGTGTGCCGGGAACAAGGGACATAGACCAAATACGTAGAGTCATGCGTCACCTGACAACAGGGATACGTTCTGAGAAAGCATCGTTAGGTGATTTCATCACGTGGCCATTGTAGAGTCTACTTACCCAAACCTAGATGGGACGTGGTACAGCCACTGCTCCTGCTCCCAGGCTGTAGACCCGTGCGGCACGTGGCTGCACTGAGTATAGTGGGCTGTTGGAGCATGGCGGTATTGGTGCATCTGAACATACCTAAACATAGAAGAGAAGAGGTACAGTCCGAACGCGGCATAAAAGAGTTTTAAAGTAATCCACCTGCCTAGAGCACTTACTACAAATGGAGCGTGCAGACTGGAAGTTGCTCTGGGTGAGTCGGGTGAGTGAATGTGGAAGCCTAGGACATGCCTGTATACTACCGTGGACTCTCTAGACGCTGTACATATGGGCTACATGAAATGTGTTTTGTTAAATTTTCTTTCTTAATAATACATCGGGCCAGGCGCTGTGGCTCACGCCTATAATCCCAGCACTTTGGGAGGCCCAGGTGGGAGGACTGCCTGAGCCCATGGGTTCAAGACCATCCTGGGCAACTCGGTGAGGCCTCATCTCTACAATAAATCAATTAGTCGAGCATGGTGGCTCGCCTGTAGTTTCAGTTACTTGGAAGGCTGAGGCAGAAGGATTGCCTAAGCTCAGCAGGTTGTGGCTGTGGTAGCCATGAGCATGCCACTGCATTCCAGCCTGGGCGACAGAGTGAGACTCAGACTCAAATAATAATAATAATAATGACAATAGTATTATTAAGTAATAGTAATACTATTATTATTATAAATTGGCCAGGCACAGTGGCTCACACCTGTGGCCACACAGTGGCTCACACCTACTTTGGGAGGCTGAAGTAGGAGGATCACTTGAGACCAGGAGTTTGAGATCAGCCTGGCCATGATAGTGAGACCCTATCTCTACAAAAAATATAAAAAATCAAGCAGTCATGTTGGTGTGTGCCTGTGGTCCCAGCTACTTAGGAGGCTGAGGGAGGAGGATCTCTTGAGTCCAGGAGTTCAAGGTTACAGTGAGCTGTGATCACACACTGCACTCCAGCCTGGGCAACAGAGTGAGAGAAACCCTGTCTCTAATAATAATAATAATAATAACAACAACAACCTTGGCTTACTGCAATTTTTTCACTTTTGTAAGCTTTAAATTTGTTTAACTTTTTGACTCCTGCAGTAACACTTAGCTTAACACAAATTTCTTTTTTATGTCCTCATTTCATCAGCTTTTAAAAAAATGACTTATTAAACTTTTGTGTTAAGAACGAAGACTCAAGCATACACAGTGCGCGCATGAGCCCAGGTATGAGACAGGGTCAGGATTGTCGACATCACGTCTTCCCCCCATGTCTTGTCCTGCTGGCAGGTCTTCAGGGGCAGTGACAGGCACGGAGCTGTCATCTCCTGTGACACTGCTTTCTTCTGGACACCTCCAGAAGGACTTGCCTGGAACTGTTTTGTAGTTCTTTCTAAGTCAAAAGAGTACACTGTAACATAATTATTAAAAGTATGGTGTGGTAAATTCTAGGCAGATTTACTACATGTAGTACAGTGAACCCTAAACGGTAATCTTTTGGGACACCATCATATACTCATATGAAGTACATCGTTAGCCAAAACATCATTATGTGGTGCATGACTGTACTTCTTAAGATGAAACAGTGTCACACACACTCACTGAGATGATGCAAGAGACAGAGAAGTATAAATAAGGAAACCAAAAATCACTTTAAAAAGTAGAACCGTGCTTCTTAAATATAGCTGGGTTTTTTGGGCACAGGGTTTTATTAAAAACCATAATTTCATTTAAATCATTATTGCATTTCAGTTCTATATTAATATATTGAATGACTTTATCATTTTTCTCTTAACCTGTCTTTTCCCTTCAGAATAATGGCTTTCCATGGGTTCCTATGTGGATTTTTAAAGAACAGAACAGTAATGAAATATCTGAAGAACTTGTTCCTGAAAATCATGAACAGTGACACAAATTCTACCTCTGTCAACTTTTATTTAAATCAGTGAATATTTATGTAAAAAAGTTTGGTTTAAGAGAACTATATCTATGTGTATATTTTCATATATATGACAGAACAAAATATGTATTAATAGTACTTAACTGATGTTATATCTGTATTATTATTCCTGACTAAAATTTCTCCTCAAAATGTGTTTATACTGTGAATTAATATAATGTATTGTCTGCATTATGCTTTAATAATCTTTCTTAATGAGCCATGATATATGTTTATAAATATTCTTATAGTACTCTTTACTTGTCTGTATTTATAACCCATATCTTAACGTCCTCACAAAGAATTAACAATTTTGACGTGGTGCTCTCATGCCTAGTTTTTTTTCTTAAAATTATTCACAGATTTACCATCTTTTGTCAAGGAGAATATATTCAGGTCTGGTCTTAGGATGGCAGAGGTCTTGATAAAATAATGATTGCTGTATATGATTAGTTATTGCCAGCTAGGAGAACTGTGATGGGAAAGATTCATTTATATACGTTACACATTATTATGTTGTTTTGACTATCACATGAACTCTTCACATAATACAGACTGTTTCCACAGCAAACTAAAAGCTATATTCAGAGTTTTATAAAACAATAGAACAGAAATCTGGGACATTTTTTCAGAAAATAAAATTTTTATTAGTTGAAAATTTCAGAATATAAAAACCATACGGGGTAAATATAGAAAACATTTTGTTAACTCGCAGTAACCATTCAGTGACATCAGTTTTTTGCTCCTAAACCTATATGTTGTAATTTGCTAATCTTCCAGAGGAGTATGTGAACACCAAATTGTGGCATATAAACAGCTTTTTAAAATTTAGATTTCAAAGTTGTAATTTTAAGAATTTAGATATATACACATATTAATAAAAGAACAAAAGTATAAAATAGAATGTCATGTACAAAAGGTAATCGTGTTTGAACCTCATGCACATGAAGAACATTTTGAGCTTTTAATAGATTACATTATGGTTGAAAGAGAACTTACAAACTACCGTAGAAAAGTGAAAGACCAATTAATTATGGTATGTTTTGTTTCCTTGTTTCCTCTTGTGACCCAATGAAGAGTGTGTGTGTGTGTGTGTGTGTGTGTTTGCTTGCACATGCCTTGGAGCAGACTCTGTGTGTAAACCTGATGTGCCTTATGTTGGATGATGCCCTTTGCAATAATTCGGTGCATAATGGGGAGTAGGCTGGTTTACTTTTCCACCATCTTTGTAATTTTATGTATCCCATCTCCTTTGTATGAATTTGTGTATTTATGATAGCAAAATATAAGATCCGTGGGACTGTTTGTAATGCCATGTGGAAATCTTTCAATAAATATGTGTAAGTAAAGTAAAAATTATCTGTCCCCACCTTTCCCCAAACAACAGCAAGACATGTTTTGTTGGATCTTTCATTTTTAAAGTTTTCTGTAACTAAAAAATGTATAGCCTGCCACGTTGTTATCTTCATAATCATGATACTACAACTTTTTTAAAATTAATTTTCCCTTAAAATGAATGTTCTGGCTTTTATAGATGTTTTTAATTTTGTTTTGAATGATTTTAAATTATGGAGCTTGACACAAACTTGCCAATAAACTTTCTAGTCAATTTAGTTTCTCTTTCTTACAAACAGTTTTTTTATAATTTTATATTAGCAACCAGTCTTAATTCTAAAATAAAATGCACTCAAATCAAACTTTATCATTGTGGAATATGAAAAAAATCTTTGAACTTAGGTGCCAGGCACCTTTTAATACTGACTTTGATTTATTTCCAGATAGTTCAAGATATAAGAAATTAAGTCAAAATTTCTTTTTGTTACCCATCCACAAAATGGCTGTGTGTGTGTGTGTGTTTGTCTGTGTATATGTGGTTGGATATATACTTTTCTCACTTGCAAGTGCTCTTTGTAGAGCACGTTAACTACCATTAGACTGTGCCACCTGCTACCCCACCTATTGTGATTGATCACACATCTGACCTCGTGGTCTTTTAAATTAAACATTTTTTTCAACTGACATCATAATGGTACACATATATAAGGTGCATAGTGATATTTCAGTGCATATTATGTATAGTGATGAGATCAGTGTAATTCACATATCCACCGTCTCAGGCATCTTTCATTTCTTTGTGTTGGGAACATTCAATATCCTCCTGGCTATTCCAGACTACATGTTATTGTCAACTGTAGGCATCCTACAGTGCTGTAGAACATACCTCTCCTGTCCAGCTGTAGTTTTGCTTCCTTTAGCAAGTGTCTCCCTGTCCCTCCCTTCCCCCTCCCTTTCCCGTCCTCTCCATCCTCTGCTCTACATTTCACTTCTGTGAGATCAACTTTTTTTAGCTTCCACATATGAGTGAGAACATGCAGTGTTTGACTGTCTTTTCCTGGTTTATTTCACTTAGCATAACGTCCTCCAGCCCATCTATGTTGCCGAGAAGGGCAGAATTTTTTAAGAAGATGATTGTTATGTGCAGCTAGGGTTAATGATGTTAATTTTAAAAACTGACCCACCAAAGTGATTCCATGGCCCAGACTCAGGCTGTAGTTTTGAAGAGCCCTTCCCTAGGGCTTGCCATGCCTTCCCAAGCCTCGGTTTCTAGCGTCCTACTCACCCTCTCGGTAGGGCACATCATGGTACCTGTACCAATTGTTTGGCTGCATTAGGATCTGTAGACAGCTGGTGCCATCACCGGCCCTCCAGCTGTTGCTCCATCACCATCACTGTCTTCTCCAGTGTCAACGGCACAGGCCCTGAATTATCTTGTCCCTCTGAACTGAAAACAAAATCTTGTTTGTATCCGGTCACTCCCTGCACCTGTCCCTGTGAACGTGAATGTGGCTGAACATGGTTGGAAATTAAGCCATCCCGACTCTTCTTTTTCTTTCTTTTTTTTTTTTTAAGGTGGTAGAGTCACTCTATTGCCCAGGCTGGCGTGCAGAGGTAGAATCATTGCTCACTGTAACCTCGAACTCCTGGGTTCAAATGATCCTCCTGACTCAGCCTCTTGAGTAGCTGGGACTACAAGTGTGTGCCACCGCTTCTGGCTACCTTTAAAAATATTTTGTAGAGACGGGGTCTTGCTATGTTGCCCAGGCTGGTCTCGAACTCCTGGTCTCCAGCAATCCTGCCTCAGCTTCCCAAAGTGCTGAGATTATAGGCATGAGCCACCACGCCCAGCATGCCCACTCTTTTTACTTTAAATTTATGACTCTGATTCGAGGCCAGGCTGGGCAACCCAGACCTCATCTCTACAAAAAAATATAAAAATCAGGCCTGTCGTCCCAACTACTTAGGAGGCTGAGGAGGAAGGATCTCCTGAGCCCAGGAGGTCAAGGCTGCAGTGAACTGTAATCGTGCCACTGCACTCCAGCCTGGGCAACTCAGTAAGACCCTGACTCAAAAACAGTAAATAAATTGATGGCCCTGAGAATCAAGGGCCCACAGCACTGTGGGAGCAATCCCTATACATTTCCTGGTCAGTTCACACCTAATCTCTCCCCAACAAGTGTTCCTCTCTTCTTTCCCTCTCATCATAGTCTATTTGCAGAGCAACTAGTGATTCTTCTTTTTTTTTTGAGTCGAAGTCTCACTCTGTCACCAGGCTGGAGTCTAGTGGCACTGTCACGGCCACTGTAGCCTTGGCCTGCTGGACTCAGGCAATCCTTCTGCCACAGCCTTCCAAGTGGCTGGAATCACAGGCATGTGCCAGCACGCCTGGCTGATTTTTTTATTTATTGTAGAGATGAGGTCTCGCCATGTTGCCCAGCCTGGCCTCGACCCCATGGGTTCAGGCAGTCCTCTCGCCTCGACCTCCCAAAGTACTGGGATTATAGGTATGAACCACTGTGCCCAGCTAGTGATTCTTCTTAAGCATAGCTGAGATCAAACGTCACTCCAAATCCTATAATGGCTTCCCAACTCTGAGAATTAAATTCAAAGACTCTTTGAGTCAAGGTCTCCCTATGTTGCTGATGCGGGAGCACCGTGTCATAGTCAGGGTCACTGCAGCCTTGAACTCCTGGGCTCAGGTGATTCTCCCTCCTCAGTCTTCTGAGTAGCTGGGACTACAGGCATGTGCCACTACCCCTGGCTAAATTTTTTTAAAAACTTTGTAGAGAAGAGGTCTCCCCTATGTTGCCCAGGCTGATTTCAAACTTCTGGGCTCAAGCAATCCTCCCGCCTTGGCCTCCCAAAACGCTGGGATTATAAGTGTGAGCCACGGTGCCCAGCCTTTTATTTTATTTTATTTCAATGATCTATTATTACACGCAAGGCCATTTGTCATCTGGCTGTGGCTGCCTCCCCAACTTTGTTTCTCCCCATCCTTTCCTCTAATTACTTCCAGCATCTAGGCCTCCTTGTTATTCCTGGAACCCACTGAACCCAAACCCTTCTCAAAAGAAGATATAAGCAATATTTAATAAGAATAAAACACAAAAAAAGTACAGAGTGGAAATGTTAGTTGTGAAAAGGGTAATAGTAGAAAGAAAAAACAGTAGAGGGAAAAACCAGTTATAGCCGGGCTCGGTGGCTCAGCCTGTAATCCCGCGCCTTTGGGAGGCTGAGGTGAGTGGATTACCTGAGCCTGCGGGTTCGAGACCCGCCTGGGCAGGCAAGACCTCATCTCTACAATAAAATCAAAAAATCAGCCGGGCGTGGTAGCGCATGCCTGTATTTCCGGCTACTCGGAAGGCTGAGGCAGAAGGATCGTCGGAGCCCAGCGGGTCGAGGCTGCGGTGGCCGGGAGCGGCCACTGCACTCCAGTCTGGGTGACAGAGTGAGACTCCAACTCAAAAAAAAAAAAAAAAACAGTTATAGAGACATAGCTTTAAAGTCCACGACTACATTTGAAGCTCAGATCACGCATTCCTCCAGAGGTATCACAAGATGAGACAGTGAAGAAGGGCTGGGTGCAGGGGCTCATGCCAGCACTTGGGGAGGCGGAGGCAGAAGGATGACTTGAGCCCAGGAGTTCAAGAACAGCCTGGGCAACATAGCAAGACCTCATCTCTACAAAAAATCAAAAAATCAGCTGGGCATGGTAGCATGCACCTGTAGTCCCAGCTACTCAGGAGGCTGAGATGGAAGGATTGCCTGAGCCCAGGGGGTTGAGGCTGCAGTGAGCCACGATGGTGCCACTGCACTCCAGCCTGGGCAACAGAGTGAGACCCTGACTTTGCAAATAAAAAAAGTGGAGAAGGAAAGCTAAGCATTATGGAAGATATGAGAGGTACCAATATTCAGTCATTTATGAGCCACGAAAGGGAGAAATACTAGAAAGAGAGCAGGAAATTCTTTAAGAAATAATGGAGATAA